GATTTGTTCTATATGATATATGTCCTCAGCTAGCATTTAAATTACAAAAATCCAAAAAAAGTCAATGGGGGCATTCCGAGAATCGAACTCGGGACCTCTCGCACCCAAAGCGAGAATCATACCACTAGACCAAATGCCCTCTTGTTGATGTAATTGAGTCGATGCATAACTGTTCTTGAAAGTCGAATACATGATGTCGTTTTTGTGTTTTCAGGAAACTAACTGATGAAGGTGGTGAGCTTTTGGATAACCTGGCAGTATATTACTCTTGGGGGTTTTATTCTTCATGAAGATGGCACAACAAACAGCTAGAGTAAGTCCACTATACTACTGTTTACTATTTTATCTTTAGATTTGACATTAGAATGTTTTCTTGTTTAGATGATGCAAGAAAGAAATTACGTTTTAGATCTAGTTTTATTAGTTGACTTTCAGGGCTTGATAGTGAAACTGGATTGTCTGTCACTTGATATTGATGGAATGTTAGCTTTTGCATTTAGAAGATATGTTTTGCAAAAGGTCAGAGGGGGCATTCCGAGAATCGAACTCGGGACCTCTCGCACCCAAAGCGAGAATCATACCACTAGACCAAATGCCCTCTTGTTGATTTAGCTCTATGCAAGTATTTCATTGTTGTCTAATCCTTTGCGTGAAAGATAATACATGGTTCACTCTTATTTACAGGAAATTTACGCTCCTGAATTTCTCTCTTGAGGAGTTTATTCATGATATAGCTGGAGACATACTGAAGGTGTAAGTTCAAACTCTTCTATTTGATATTTTGACTCATGAATATGGTGAGAAAGTGTTTTATTAGTTGACTTTCAGAGCTTAATAGTGAAAGTGGTTCTTTCTTTAAGAAAGATGATGTTATTGTGGATCTTATTATTTGATTGGTGTTCGGCCCTTAAGACTTAGCAAAACGTTTCAAGATTTAGTTCACGTGCAAGACTTTTACTTTTGATGTCTATATTTTGATGAAGCTGGCAATATACAGTTAGGTTAAGTTTTATCAATTCTATTTTTTGGTGATTCTCTTTTTAAGATTACAGAGAGGTTAAGATTTTGGCTTGTTAATAAAAATCTAAGAAGAAAGCTACTTATTAGATCTACTTCTATTGGTTGACCTTCAGCGGTTATACTAAAGGGTGAGCGTTTGTAGAGTTTGATGAATGCCAAGGTTGAATTGTGCTGAATGTTGTCTTGGCAAAACTGTCAGTTGTAATTTTTACCATCTGCTAAAAAAAAGTCAAGGGGGCATTCCGAGAATCGAACTCGGGACCTCTCGCACCCAAAGCGAGAATCATACCACTAGACCAAATGCCCATTTGTTGATTAACACAGTCAATGCATAACTGTTCTTGAAACGTAGACAGAGGTTTTAAGCGTTTTCTTCTCACTTCCCGCAGTTATCTCTTGGAAGAAATCTGGAAGCATTCAGCTAGCGATGCTCTCTGATACCGAGAAAGTGTTTTCTTGCTGCACATTGTGAGTCAGTGGACGTGAAAGCCAAGGTGCATTCTGATTCTCATTATGTTACTTGCATTTCAGTAATTATACCAAAAGTCATAAATTATTGTCTAAAAGTTGAAGAGAAGTGCATGTGACAACTCCTGCACTAAAGAATAGTTTGTTCTGTGATAGTCATCAACTAGCATTTGAAATAGGCTTCAAAAAAAGCCAATGGGGGCATTCCGAGAATCGAACTCGGGACCTCTCGCACCCAAAGCGAGAATCATACCACTAGACCAAATGCCCTGTTGTTGATTTAGCTCTATGCAAGTATTTCATTGTTGTCTAATCCTTTGGGTGAAAGATAATACATGGTTCACTCTAATTTACAGGAAATTTACGCTCCTGGATTTCTCTCTTGAGGAGTTTATTCATGATATAGCTGGACACATACTGAAGGTGTAAGTTCAAACTCTTCTATTTGATATTTTGATTCATGAATATGGTGAGAAAATGTTTACTTGTTTAGATAATATAAAAAGAGAGCTAAATTTTAGATCTAGATCGTTCAGTTGACTTCAAGGGTTTAGTAGTGAAGGTAGATTGTCTGTGATTTAATATTGTTGAAATATAAGGCTAATACACACTGTTGAATTGCTGAACGTCGTCTTTAAAAATCAGGTACAAAAAGGAAAAAATTATAGTGAAAAAATCTCAGCTGTCATATAGTCCACGTACCTTGAAAAAGTCAAAGGGGGCATTCCGAGAATCGAACTCGGGACCCCTCGCACCCAAAGCGAGAATCATACCACTAGACCAAATGCCCTGTTGTAGTGTTGTTGATGTTATCCATTTCAAGCATTAGTATTTGTTTGAAATGGCAGTTTCAGATGTAACAAGAATGGTGTGTTTCTTGATTTCATCAGTAAGTCTGGATGCTTTATGCTAGATTTTCTTTGCTGAATGTTCCTTTGTAAGAGTTGTTATTCTTATCTGCGTTTGGATTTCTAGCATCGTTTACTAATCTTGATGAATCTGACAGCTTAGAAAACGCGCCTGTTTGAAGTTTACTAGTCAAAAAGAGATATAGATTGGACGTGTGAAACAGTGGTATGTTCTTTTCTTTTCTTTGTATGATGCATGTAGTAATGAAAATTTGAGGGGGTTTCTGTTTTTTGCTTTTCTCTTGCTGAAACGAAAAAGAGACATATGGTCTGCAGTTGTTAAACAAGATATGTGAAAAATTTAGGATTGAATCAAGAATGAGTTTCTAAGCAATTTTCAGGCGAATTGTAGAACATATGTTTTATAAATCATTTAATGTACAACTACTCCTGAAATTTGAATACCGGTTTTAGGCTGTGTTCTTTTGATTCCTGCAGTTATCTGATGAAGTGATTGGCAGCACTCAGCTAGCAATTCTGTCTGTTCAAATCTGTTATTCTTTCTGCACATTGTGAGTGGACGTGAAAGCCAAGGTGCATTGCGGTTCTCACTCTATTTGTTACATTTCAGCTCAGTACATATACAGTTGTTGAAAATGATGTGTGACAACCTCATGCCGCTTTGTTTTATATGATAGTTCTCAGCTGGCATTTACATTATAAAAAGCCAAAAAAAGTCAATGGGGGCATTCCGAGAATTGAACTCGGGACCTCTCGCACCCAAAGCGAGAATCATACCACTAGACCAAATGCCCTGTTGTTGATGTAATTGAGTCCATGCATAACTGTTCTTGAAAGTCGAATTCATGATTTCGTGTGTGTGTTGTCAGGAAGCCAACTGATGAAGGTGGTATGCTTTTGGAGAACCTGGCAGCATTAGAAAAGTGTTTTCGTGCAGCAAACGTGAGAGCAAACAGTAATTTCTGGATCTAATTCGTTTTTGAAACTTATCGCATATTAATGAACAGAGTTCCTGCATTTGTGGAAAAAGTGTTCTTGTTTATAAAGAAGCTGAGTTTTCTGGTTAAAGACTTTAAAGTTGTGTACTTTTCTCTAAAAACAAAAACAGACTCTTGGTGAGAAAAGCCTCATACATCATCTCCATCACCATTCACCAACAAGCGTAAATAACCGGGAAAGTTTCCATCTTTATCATCACAAAATCAGATAAGCTAATGTAAAAAGCATGAGAATCTTCAGAGTCGCATCGGTCTCACGGCGGATCTTATTCCCGTCCAATCACTACGCAACGTTACCGTTAAAACAAGACGTTTCTGCTCTCTCACCTGCGATCAACATCGCCAGAGCTCTTCAAGAACACATCAATTCTCCGTCCCCAAAAGCTGGGAAGAAGATTCAAGCCGATATCATCAAAACTGGGTTCAGACCAGATCTAAACGTATCCATCAAACTACTCATTCTCCATCTAAAATGTGGCTGCCTGAGTTACGCACGCCAAGTGTTCGACGAATTACCCAAGCCAACATTATCAGCTTACAACTACATGATCAGTGGGTACCTGAAGCATGGATTCGTAAAAGAACTTCTCCTCCTTGTTCAACGAATGTCCTACTCTGCGGAGAAGGCAGACGGATACACACTCTCCATGGTTCTCAAGGCATCTAGTAGTCATGGCTCCACTATGACACTGCCGCGTAGCTTATGCAGGTTGGTCCACGCCCGGATAATTAAATGCGACGTTGAGCATGATGATGTATTGGTTACTGCACTTGTTGACGCTTATGTGAAGAGCGGGAAGCTGGAGTGTGCGAGGACTGTGTTCGAAACGATGAAAGATGAGAATGTCGTTTGTGCCACATCGATGATCTCGGGTTACATGAACCAAGGGCTTTTGGATGATGCTGAAGAGATTTTCAATACAACAAGAGTGAAGGATATTGTAGTCTACAATGCTATGGTGGAAGGTTTCAGCAGATCATCTGAAACTGCTGAGAGAGCAGTTCACATGTACATTTCGATGCAGCGAGACGGTTTCCGTCCCAACATTTCGTCCTTCGCTAGCGTCATTGGAGCGTGCTCTGCTTTGACAGCACATGAAGTTGGTCAGCAAGTTCACGCTCAGGTTATGAAGAGTGGAGTGTATACGCATATCAAAATGGGGAGCTCTCTGTTAGACATGTATGCCAAATGCGGAGGAATCGGTGATGCAAGAAGAGTCTTTGACCAAATGCGAGAGAAGAACGTGTTTTCTTGGACTTCGATGATCGATGGATATGGAAAGAACGGAAACCCTGAGGAAGCACTCGAACTGTTCACTAGGATGAAGGAATCTCATATCCAGCCCAATTACGTAACCTTTCTTGGAGCTCTCTCTGCGTGTTCGCATTCTGGTTTAGTCGATGAAGGATATGAGATCTTTGAGAGCATGCAGAGAGATTATTCCATGAAACCAAAGATGGAACACTATGCTTGCATGGTTGATCTCATGGGACGAGCTGGAGATTTGAATAAGGCTTTGGGATTTGTTAGGGCGATGCCGGAGAGGCCTAACTCGGACGTTTGGGCTGCTCTTCTCAGTTCTTGTAGACTACACGGTGATGTGGACCTCGCAGGCATAGCTGCGAATGAGCTTTTCAAACTCAATGCTGACAAAAGACCTGGAGCTTATATAGCACTATCCAACGTATTAGCCTCTGCTGGTAAATGGGAGAATGTGAGCGAGATTCGAGATGTGATGAAAGCTAGAAAGATACCTAAAAACATTGGTCGTAGTTGGATCGGTGCCGATAATGCTCAGTGAAGGTATTTTGAAACAGAGTTATCAGGTTTTTTGGAGATAAGGATTTTTCCTACTGAGTGTTGTTATACATAAGTGATATTATAAAACATTCAGTAAGGCTTCCCTTCCTTCATTCACATTCTCGCTCTTCAATTCAAATACAGTGAGCTTGAAAACATTTTGTTCTGTGATGAAACCAAAAAGTTATACAAATGGTTGATTATTATTGTGTTTGTGTTTCTCTTTTATTGTGCGCTTTATAGACGTCGCTTGCTTTGTCGGTGATCAAGAGAGCACAGATTCACCCTTGTGGAACTTCTCCATGGCCTCTTTGAACTCGAGCATTGCGGATTCGCGTAGATTCACCAAAACCTTAAACCCACTCTCCTTCTTGCTTCCAGCTGCAGCATCAGTAGCATAAGGCAAGAAGAAACATGGTTCCATGCTTCCAAGCAACTTGTATGAAAGTGGCAAAACCGTCACAGGTCCTCCCCATCCGAAATCAACCGTTGAATGTCCCAAGTATCGCCAGTCCGTGAATCCAGTCACTCCTGTTTTATACAATCCCCCGAAAAGCATGAAACTTTGTTCTGATTTGTCCTATAGTTGATCATGAATATTTATACTTTACCTGTACCGGCATTGATTCCATCCTTGTGGTGCAGCTCTTGGAAGTCGATAAAGGAGCGCACGTATTCGTCACTCGCATTGGATTTGCTCTGTTTTATGAGCTCTGCGGTTTTCCAAATGGGCTGCTCCATGAGCTCTCCAGCTTTAAGCTGAGCATACATTGGCACACATCCGTTTCCCCAGTAGCCTTTAGGCAAAGGTGGATTCATCAATCTCCTTATGTTTATCGAATACACATACTTCACATTCTCTTCTTCACCAATCTTTGCAGCTCTTACCCTGAATTTCGAAAAATTTCTTGTTTTTTTCAGATCAAACATTTTCAAGAAAATTTTGATCGAAACAAACGATTTAAACTTACTTTGCGCGCCAAATGTAAGCACCAAGAGCTTCGAATGTCGTGAAATTCGAACCAGATTTCTCGAATAACAGAGCCTTGAATCGGTCCAAAGACTCGTCGGTCACGAGGAAGCAGTCTCTTTGGACGTCTCGAATGTCTTGTCCGTATGGATCAAAGTCCTTGTTCAGGCTCAAGAAGTCACGAACCGGAGCTCCAACCCAAGGCTTGTCTCTTGGACCGAGCAGACGTTCTCTGTCCCAAACCGGCTCGATCGAGATCCGAGTGGCTCCGCGAGCTAATTCAGCCATGGCGTTGAAGAAGAGACTCGAACCTAAGCCGTCGCAGATCGCGTGGTGAATCGACGCTCCTAGAACCCAACCACCGCACTGAAACGTCGTGACCTGGAGGATACAGGGATTGAGCATTCCTTCCTCCCGGGTCGGATCCGGTACCAATCCCTCGACGAAACCTGGATCGGGTCCATCCAAATACCCGACGGATTCTAGCGTACAGTTCACAGAAGCGTTAACTAGAGGGACGCTTTGACCGGCGCCGCAGTACAATTCGAAGCGGTTATCGGACTCCGAGCGACGGAGAGAGCCGGCGAGGGGGTAATAGTGGACGAGAGCGGTGGCGAGTGAGGCGGAGACGACGGCAGATGGGGTTTTCCCGGCGACGGTGGCAGAAGAGGTGGAGGAGGAGGAGTAGACGCGGAGGTAACGGAAGGTGACGTGGAGGTTGTTATCGTTATCGAGATGAGAGAGAGAAAGAGTTTGGTCGTTGAAGAGAGGTTGGTGAGAAGGATGAACCAGGGCTATTTCTGTAATTTCAAGTGTCGCCATTGATTTTGTGCTATGGTCTTTGTTTGTTTCCCCCACAAAATAAACTTTTGAGGTCAAAATATATAAAATGAATTAAACAGGCAAAATCAATGCCTTGAGGACAGCTCACAAATACCCTACAATCAACTACCAAACAGTCAAGTTCCATGACCACACACACACATACTCTCACCTACAACAGTTCAAACAATTATTTTGTTTTCTCACTCATACCATAACCAAATCATTCATTTTGTGGTCGAGTTTTGGACGCATCAATAGCTAAATTGGTGACTTGGTGTATTAAGAGAATCTTTAACAGATTTTTTTTTATTAAGAGATTCAAGATCGAGTAGGGATATTATTAAATATGAAGAGTTGAATGGGTCTGCAGAAAATTCAAAGTAGAGATCAGTTTGGCACACAAACCAAGGCCACGAACACAAGGTTTTGAATGCACCGCCGACAAGTCCATACCAATGCCATTACTAGCCATAATAAATCCATTTTTAAGGGCACAAAACAAAATGAGAGAATCTTGTTTTTTTCACAATTTCTGCTTAGCATCGAATATCCAATTTTGTAACGGAGCTCGCAACTGACGTGGACATTTTTTTGGAGATACTTCATTTTCCAACCAATAACCAATTGGCAAGTCACAAAGTCACTAATAAACATGACCATTTACTTTTCGCCAATTTTCTCTTTCCTTATTGAGATAAACAGATAATTGCCTCAACTCTGCCTTTATTTAGCGGTCGAAAAAGAGAGTGCAAAAACTGAGACTGGCGGAGACAACGACGACGACTCACTCCTCTCCTCTCATGGCTTCTCCATTGAAGAAACTCATCTCAAGCTTTCTACTCATCTTTTCCTTTTCCATCTTCGTTGTTGCCTCATCAGAATCTCGGTGTCGGCATTATACATCGATCATCAGCTTCGGTGATTCCATCGCCGACACCGGAAATTATCTCCGTCTCTCCGACGTCAATCATCCTCCTCAGGCCGCCTTTCTTCCTTACGGCGAAACCTTCTTCCAAACTCCCTCCGGCCGTTACTCGGACGGCCGTCTCATCATAGATTTCATCGGTACCTTCTTTTTTCCTCTCTTTTTTTTGTTGTCAGTTATTTAGGCAAAACCATTTCTTCTGCTCTGCTTTAGAGTCGAACTATCGACCTTGAGTACTCACTGAACCACTTGACCACCAACTACATTGCAAATCCTTGATGCTTGTACAGCAAGTTAGAAACCCTACTTGCTTCTGAGTTTTTTGCATTTGGTTTATGTTATGTAACAGCCGAATTCTTGGGACTTCCGTACGTACCGCCGTACTTTGGATCCCAAAATGTTAGCTTCGAGCAAGGGATCAATTTCGCGGTCTATGGAGCAACAGCTTTGGATCGTTCATTTCTTGTTGAAAAAGGAATCGAGTCTGATTTCACAAATGTTAGTTTAAGTGTTCAGCTCAACATCTTCAAGCAGATTTTACCTAACCTTTGCGCCTCGTCTTCTCGTGGTTAGAAATTTTATAGCCGTCTTCGCTCTTACATATCTATGACGATTTGAATCAAGCTCGCTTCTAACGCTTTTATTTTATTTTGGCTTTTAGATTGCAGAGAGATGCTTGGAGACTCGCTGATACTCATGGGAGAGATTGGAGGGAACGACGTCAATTACCCGTTCTTCGAAAGAAAAAGTATTAACGAAATCAAAGAGCTTGTTCCTCTAGTCATCAAAGCTATTTCTTCTGCGATTGTGGTAACAAATCTTTACATTTCTCTCACAAAGCAAAATCACATGTGTGTTATAAATTTCTAACAAAATTAGGTCACAAAAAACTACAGGAATTGATCGATTTGGGAGGCAAAACATTTTTGGTACCCGGAAACTTCCCCATAGGATGCTCTGCGTCATATCTTACTCTGTTTCAGGATGCGAAAGAAGAAGATTACGATCCATTCACAGGTTGTCTCCCCTGGCTCAACCAATTTGCGGAGCACCAAGATGAACAGCTCAAGACAGAACTCAAACGACTCCAAAAACTATACCCTCATGTCAACATCGTTTACGCCGACTACTACAACTCCTTATACCGGTTCTTCAAAGAACCAGCTAAATACGGTCCGTTCCCCCTCAAAAACTCTTTCCTTGACCCTCACGGTTGGATTACTTAACCAATGTTTTTATGGATCATTTTTTTTTACAGGGTTTAAGAATAGACCTTTGGGTGCTTGTTGTGGAGTTGGAGGTAAATACAACTTCACTTTTGATGTGGAGTGTGGAGACAGAGGAGTTGGTTCTTGTCAAAATCCATCTGAGTATGTGAACTGGGACGGTTATCATTTAACCGAAGCCACGTACCGGAAGGTGGCTGAGGGTTTACTAAACGGTCCCTATGCTACTCCTGCTTTCGACTGGTCCTGCCCTGGCTCTGCGTCAGTGGATAAAGACTACTCTTTCAGCAGTTAAAATTCATTTGTTGTGAAAGATGTAGTGATGATGTTGATTTACAAATTACAAGAACGGGACGGCAAGGTTTTGCCACAATATAATATTGTTGACTGTTAGACAAAACTCCGAGGAGGTGATAAAAGTTTTAACCATATAGTTGGTATATTTGATGGTACATGCAGACAAAATATATAACCTCCATGAATATCTAACTTATTTATTTATCTAAATGTTTCTAATGTTAAGGTGTAAAGAAATGCAAAATACTGTAATCGTGTGTATATACATTTACCTAGCAAGATGCAAGAATGATTTAGTTTGCATCCCCATCCTAGCAGATTGTTTGAGTGAACATCTAGATTTTCAAGAGTTCATAGTCTTTAACCAATCCGGGATAGCCACCGTAGAGAGTTTATTTTTCTCAGTTAACCAAGTAATGAAAGCAAGCTTTAGTTAGCATTCTAATTTCCAGTATATGAGAACCAAACAATACGATTCATGTTTGAATTTCTATACTGTATATGTAAACTTATTTCTTTTGAAATGAACAACCATTTGAAATATCTTAATTGTGTGGTTGACAAAAATATGAAAGTAACATAAAATTTAGTGTTGTTTTTGGAAGTTTGGTACATTTGAGAAAATAACGCACATTTCCGACGATGTTTGGGAAACTCACATCTAATTGATACTACACTTTTATGAAAATGTGAGATGCCATTTTAAATTTAATTTAATTAGACTATTATTATAAAATGGTCTTGGACAGTTGGACTTTATATTTAAGAAAGATAACGTTATGGGATCATTTTTTGAACTATGGCTGAGATTAGAAATGTATGAATCTTAGCTGTCCTTTGAATACGATCCAATAGTTTATGCATTATCTAGTGGTCGAAAAAAGATTATAAAAAAAGTCTCACAGACGACGACGATTCGTCCTCTCCCATGGCTTCTCCACTACTGAAGAAGCTGATCATCTTAAACTTTCTAAATTTCCTTTCCTCCACCATCATCGTTGACTCATCAGAACCACAGTGTCGGCATTATACATCGATCATCAGCTTCGGTGATTCCGTCGCCGACACCGGCAATTATGTACATCTCTCCGACGTTAATCATCCTCCTCAGGCCGCCTTTCTTCCTTACGGAGAAACCTTCTTCCATTCTCCCTCTGACCGTTACTCCGACGGCCGCCTCATCATCGATTTCATTGGTACCTAATTTACCTCAATCATTAGACAATACCGTTTATTATACTCTGCTTTAGGTCTTTTTTGCTTGAACAGCAAGTTGAAAACCCTAGTTGCTCCTGATGAGTTTATGTAATGTTGTGTTCATTTTTTGGTTTATGTAAAAGCCGAATTCTTGGGACTACCGTACGTACCGCCTTACTTTGGATCCCAAAACGTGAGCTTTGAGCAAGGGATCAATTTCGCAGTGTATGGAGCAACAGCTTTGGATCGCTCGTTTCTTGTTGAAAAAGGAATCGAGTCTGAAATCACAAATGTTAGTTTAAGTGTTCAGCTTAACATCTTCAAGCAGATTTTACCTAACCTCTGCGCCTCGTCGTCTCGTGGTTAGAAACTTATAGCCAATTCTTCTTTTACGTATCTTCAAGCAGATGAATCGACTCGCTTAAGGGTTTTATAGTTTTTTGGCTTTAGATTGCAGAGAGATGCTTCGAGGCTCGCTGATACTAATGGGAGAGATCGGAGGGAACGACTATGATTACCTGTTTTTAGAAGGCAAAAGTATCACTGAAATTAAAGAGCTTGTTCCTCTAGTCATCAGAGCTATTTCATCTGCGATTATGGTAACAAATCTTTACAAGAAAATTCATATTTTTGTTTTATAGTTTTAATCAATTAAGCAACAAATACAGAATTTGATCGATTTGGGAGGCAAAACATTTCTGGTGCCTGGAAACTCTCCAATTGGATGTTTCTCCGCACATCTTACTCTATTTCAGACCGCGAAAGAAGAAGAATACGACCCTTTAACAGGTTGTCTCACATGGCTCAACGAATTCGGAGAGTACCACAATGTACAGCTTAAGGCAGAACTGAAACGACTCCAGAAATTATACCCTCATGTCAACATCGTTTACGCCGACTACTACAACTCTTTATACCGGTTTTTCAAAGAACCAGCCAAATACGGTACGTCAGTGCGCCTCGAAAACTCTTTCCTTGACCCTCACGGTTGGATTACTTAACCAATGCTTTTATGGATCCTTTTTTAGGGTTCAAGAACAGACCATTGGTTGCTTGTTGTGGAGCTGGAGGTCAATATAATTTCACTATTTATCAACAGTGTGGTTACGGAGGAGTTAGCTATTGTCAAAATCCATCTGAGTACGTGAATTGGGATGGTTTTCATTTCACCGAAGCCACACACCAGAAGATGGCTCACGATATACTCAACGGTCCCTACGCAACTCCTACTTTCGACTGGTCCTGCCTTGGCTCTGCATCAGTTGATAAAGAATATTCTTTCAGCACTTAAAAAAATAATTTGTTTTGAAAACACAATCAAGTAAAGTATGTAGTGATAATGATGATTAATTAAGAAGAAGAAACTGCTGCTACGGCACCATTTTGGCACAATATAATATTGTTGGCTAATTAATGACCAAAATTTCGAGGTATATATATATATATATATATATATATATATATAGCCTCCATTGATATCTAACTTATCTAACAATCGTGTATATATACCTAGCAAGAATTATTGAGATTGCATCTCCATTCCAATAATATTATTGATTTTAAAAAATTCACATCTAATTTTTTTTGTCGGCAATTCACATCTAATCTTTATACTTATAAAGCACAAGTCAGTTGACAATTGTCAGTCTGACATGCGTCCATTTTATTTTTAAATCAATTTTCATTTTTACTTTTTTATATAAAAATAACATTGTTTCATTTATTAAAATAAAATTAAAAAAAAAATAAAACTTAAACTTCTTTCTAAATTAACTACACACTATCTCCAATTTAACTTTCCCACATTCTAATATATGAAACTTAATTACTTGCTGTTTTTCTAATTATTTACGTGAGTATATATATATATATGTATATCTATTATTTTTAAGAAAACATTATGTTCTGTTTTATGTAATACAGAAATTTATTTCTGTAATTCTTTTTGTTATGATGGAGTGGAACTACGAAAGTGTTAGCTTGAACATGTGTAATCTCGCTTCAAGAAGTGGTGTCGACCTAATTATGCTTAGATCATTAAATTCTTTATAAAGATGATACAGAAAAACAATCAGATCAAGTGTTTGAAGAAGTCATATGACGAAGATGAAAACATGTTCAGTATCTAAATTATACGGAGAAACTAAAGTTATATGGCATTCTTTTTATTTTACAATTTTTATATAAAATATTATTAGATTTTAATTTTTAATTGATTCAAAATTTCAAAAGTTTTACTCAATATGTAAATATAAAAGATTCAATAGTGTTTAAAAGAATATTTTTTTATCATCAACTGAATTTTCATAGAAAAGATATAAATTCAGTTCAAATAATATTATCAAAGAAAATTACAGTATTAATTACTTTTCCGATGCATAGCATCAGGCACACATTAGTTAATACTCTTTTCGTTTTTCTTTATAAGATGTTTTAGAAAAAAAAAATTGTTCATAATTAGATGATGTTTTCAGAAATCAATGCAAAAAGTAATTATTTTATTCTATATATTATTTTTTTATTAGTTGAATTGTTTTAGAATTGATGTTTTGTTTTGGAAAAAGAAAAAATTAAATAACTTCTTAATCTCCGTACAAAACTTTTAAAACATCGTATATAAAAAAATGGAGGAAGTATTATAAATTATAGAAAAATGTGGTAGGGACTAAAATTAATTGATTTTATGGGCTAAGTTTCGAAATGAGTGGCAGGGACTAAAGCATGTGTATCAATGCATGGAGCATGCCCATCGGCGTTTCTAAAAGAATTATTAAGAAGGTTGTTAAATTAAAAATATTATTAAAAAATGATTTATGTGTGTTATCTGTTAGAGGCGTTCCTTATTCAAGTGATTTCAAAACCCTTAAGAGATCCATATGTGTCGATATTTAATTGCACGATTTATTAAAAAAAAACAAAAAATTAAAGAGTAAAGGGAACGACGAGGCCATGATGGAGAGTAGATTCTCTCTTTTCCGATCCTCTATTATCTCTTTTCCAATCCACAATTCCGGTGAGAGCTCAAAATCCGAACAAGGAAACTGCAGAATCCCGATTCTGATCATCATCATCTCACGTCGTTCTCCTTCTTTAAGCCATCTGAAACCAACGCCGTGATGGAGACAGTCGGAATCTTCAGGCGATTCAAAAGGCTCCATCCGTCTGATTGATATGTTGCATGTTTATGGATTGCTGCTGAAGCTCTCTCTCTATTTCTTTTAGACTTCTCCGTTAGGTAATTGTTATGGTTTTGTTTCTCTTTGATATTTGATTTTGAACAATGTGGTATTTGTCCTGCGCTGTGTAGTAATTGTTTTAGTCTGTGCCTTTGTTTATTTGCAATCTATTCTTAATTTGTTGAGTTTTCGTTGAATTTTTGTTGTGGCTCACATGAACTCCTTAGTGTGGTATGGAAGTGGTAGTGTTTACTTTGTTTTTGAGGATGCAATTTCTTAAAAAGATGTAGAAAGAATGGATTTCAGTTGCCTTTTCTGTCAGTTTTTGCAGAATGAGATAGAGGTGGTACTTTGTCTTTGCTGATCATGATATTTGAACTGTTTTTGTGTTTGGTTTATCTGCTAGGGTATTTTTACATGTTGATTTGAATGATCTTTGCCAGCTTTGATTAAGTAAACATATGTTATTCTTTAGCTGGAGTCTTTGCTACGTTCAGAGTTAAAATATTGTACCTGAAAAACTAATTCAATCTTTGTGAAGGGAGAGCCTGAAATAGACACTCAGAAAGTTGAACCAGAGAGCAGCAAGCTGGCTGATCTCGACCCCAAAACTCGCAGTACCGCTGAGAAGATTCGTTCAATATGCTAACAGGTACAATAATTATATGGGAGCCATTCTTAAGTCTCAACCCCGTTTCATACAAGGTTGTGTTACATACTTGATTATTCTCTCTTTTTTTTTGGTACAAAGAGATCGATCACACAAGATTGGTTGAATATCAAGGTTTAAGCGATGGCCGGTGGAGCTCTAGCTGCCGATGAAGGAGCTCTAAAGGTTTAAATCACTGATTACTTCATCTTCACTTGCATCGTTGTATCATTTTTTGATTAAATATTGCTCATTTTTTTGCTTTTCTTCTTTCTTAAAACGTAGGTGGTGTTACATCGATGGACGGTTTCTTGATAGAATTCTTCCCGAAAATCTACAAGAGAAAACAAATGCATCTGAACGAAACAGACTATTGCAAATACGACAATCAAATATCTTGAGGTAATGTTGATCATCTGTTTTTCTTCTTCTAAACTTATTTGATATGCGACACCTTGTTCTTCTTTGCGATTTGTTCTTCAAGAATCCATTGCTTTTTCTCATGATCTTCCCTCCCAACTGTGTCGATTCTTCATCTATGTATTTTTTAATTCATGATTCACAATTGACATAAAATCATCTTGGAATTTACAGTAAAGTAATTTTATAATTTAAATTTTGTTTTTAAAAAACTCATTAAGAGATTCTACCAATGGAAGAGCAAAAAATTTAAATCAAATACAAGGGTTCTTAAAAAAAAAAAGAAGCAAAATTTATATTAAAAAATGTTTAACAATCTCATATGGGTCTTTACCAATGGAGATGGTCTTAGCTGTCCTCAATGAGTAAGATCCAATAATTAATGCCTGAACCAGAGACGACTACGATTTATATCTTCACATGGCTTCTCCACTGAAGAAGCTTATCTTAAGCTTTCTACTTCTCTTTTCCTCTATCACCATCGTTGCCTCATCAGAACCACTGTGTCGGAATTATAAATCGATCATCAGCTTTGGTGATTCCATCGCGGACACCGGAAGTTATGTCCATCTCGCCGACGTTAATCATCTTCCTCAGGCAGCTTTTCTTCCTTATGGAGAAACCTTCTTCCATTCTCCCTCCGGTCGGTACTCCGATGGCCGCCTCATCATTGATTTCATCGGTAAAATATATACAGAATGTTATCATCTGCTTTTAGGTCTTTCTTTCTTGAACAGCAAGTTAGAAACCCTACTTTTTTTTTTTTTTTTTGAACTTTAGTTAGAAACCCTACTTACTCGTTTAATTTTTTGGTAAGGTGTTTGTTCAATTTTGGTTTATGTAACAGCCGAATTCTTGGGACTGCCGTACGTACCGCCTTACTTTGCATCCCAAAACGTGAGCTTCGAGCAAGGAATCAATTTCGCAGTGTATGGAGCAACCGCCTTGGATCGTGCGTTTCTTATGGAAACAGGAATTGAATCTGATTTCACCAATGTTAGCTTAAGTGTTCAACTTAACATCTTCAAGCAGATTTTACCAAACCTCTGTGCCTCGTCTTCTCGTGGTTAGAAACTTGTAGCCTTCTTCTCTTACATATCTAAGATGATGAATCAAGCTCAATTCTAACGCTTTATATTTTATTTTGGCTTTAGATTGCAGAAAGATGCTTGGAGACTCGCTGATACTCATGGGGGAGATTGGAGGGAACGACTTTAATTACCCGTTTTTCGAAGGCAAAAGTATTAATGAAATCAAAGAGCTTGTTCCTCTAGTAATCAAAGCTATATCTTCAGCGATTGTGGTAACCAAGATTTACATTTCCACACCCTAGATAAACCACTTATTATTTATTTTTATTTTTTTAAATTAGCAACAAACTACAGGATTTGATCGACTTGGGAGGCAAATCATTTCTGGTGCCCGGAAACTTTCCACTTGGATGTTTCCCCGCGTATCTTACTCTATTTCAGACTGCGAACGAAGAAGAACACGACCCTTTTACAGGTTGTATGCCACGGCTCAACGAATTCGGAGAGCACCACAATGAACAGCTGAAGACAGAACTCAAAAGACTCCAAAAACTATACCCTCATGCCAACATCATTTACGCTGACTACTACAACTCTATGTACCGGTTTTTCCAAGAACCAGCCAAATACGGTATGTGCGGCTATAAAATTCTGTCCTTGACCCTTACGGTTAGATTCATTAACTGATGTTTTTTTTAATCTTTTTTAGGGTTCAAGAATAGACCTTTGGGTGCTTGTTGTGGAGTTGGAGGTAAATACAACTTCACTGTTAATGAAGAGTGCGGAAAAAGAGGAGTCAGCTATTGTCAAGATCCATCTGAGTATGTGAATTGGGATGGTTATCATTTAACCGAAGCTACGCACAAGAATATGGCTCATGGTTTACTCAACGGTCCCTATGCCACTCCTGCTTTCGACTGGTCTTGTCTTGGCTCTGGTACAGTGGATACGGAGTATTCTATCAGTAGTAATTAGAAGAATTGATTTGTTATCAGAAAAAGGAAGAAAAAGTTCACGTACGATTTATCTATGCTCTTTTTTGCTTGGTGAGTTTCTATACTTTATTCCTGATAATTTTGTCGATCATATGAACAATATAATCGCAAGGGTAACTAAAATATGAAAATCCTGAATGGCATCGAAATTCCTAACAAAATAAATAAATTTGAAAATAGAATAAAGAATAAAATATATATTATGGAGAATTATATTAAACTTTATGGGCTGAGTTTCTAAAAGAACGGCAGAGATTAAAGCATGCTGCATGTGTACCAATGCATGAAGCTTAGCTGTCCTTTGAGCATGTGTTTGGGCATTACTTAGTAGACAAAATAAATAAAAATATATAGTAACCTTTCTACAAGCGAGTAGAGACGACTATCTCTTGCCATGGCTTTTCCACTGAAGAAGCTGATCATCTTAAGCTTTCTACTTATCTTTTCCTCCACCATCATCGCGGCTTCATCAGAAACACCATGTCGGTATTATAATTCGATCATCAGCTTCGGTGATTCCTACTCCGACACTGGCAATTATCTCTATCTTTGCGACGTCAATCATCCTCCTCCGGCCGCCTTTCTTCCTTACGGAGAAACTTTCTTCCATCATCCCTCGGGCCGTAACTCCGATGGCCGCCTCATCATCGATTTCATTGGTATCAAATATACTTCTGTTGTATTAAACATTTAGGCACAACCATTTAGTATCCTCTGCTTTTGGTCTTTCTTGCTTGAACAGCAAGTCAGAAACAGTAGTTGCTCTTGAGTTTAGGTAATATTGTGCTCATTTTTTGGTTTATGTAACAGCCGAATACTTGGGACTACCGTACGTACCGCCTTACTTCGGATCCCAAAACGTGAGCTTCGAGAAAGGCATCAATTTCGCGGTGTATGGAGCAACCGCCTTAGATGGTGCGGTTCTTGCCGAAAAAGGAATTGGATCTGAGTTGACAAATGTCAGTTTAAGTGTTCAGCTCAACATCTTCAAGCAGATATTACCTAACCTCTGCGCCTCATCTTCTCGTGGTTAGAAACTATTTAATTCTCTTTTTTAATTATATTTTATTATTAAAATACCGAAGTCATACCCTTTAAATGCACCAGAAACAGCTTATTCTTAGAGGGTGCTTGAGCAATAGTAACTTTTAAGTAGCGATTGACCTTGTGTCCTAGGTCGCCACATCTACCACCTTTAGAAAGCAACCAAACGTATTCCACATCAACGACCCGTTTCTGTCATCAGTGACGATTCTTGAAGAGAAACCTTTACACAACTCAGCCTCAACTAAAATAGTAGCTTCACCCATTAGAATGGGGTCTAACATGGGTTTGTGAGTTTGCCATAGGATAAGGAGCGCCTAGGCCCGAGGCAATATGACTTATTCGAGGAATAGAATGATTTTGAAGATTTTCTTTAAAGTTATATTTCTTTGTCGTGGTTAGAAACTCCTAGCCTTGTTTTCTTACATATCTATATATGATGATGAATCGAGCTTTCTTCTAAGCATTTTGTGTGTGTGTGTGTGTGTTTTTTTTCAAATGTTTTCGGCTTTAGATTGCAGAGAGATGCTTGGAGACTCGCTGATACTCATGGGACAGATTGGATCGAACGACTATTACTACCCGCTTTTCCAAGGAAAAAGTATCAGTGAATTTAGAGATATAGTTCCTCTGGTCATCAAAGCTATTTCTTCTGCTATTGTGGTAACAAATATAAACTAGAAAAATCACATTTTTTGTTTTATAGTTTTAATGAATTAAGCAACAAACTATAGGATTTGATCAATTTGGGAGGCAAAGCATTCCTGGTGCCAGGACTCGATCCACTTGGATGTTACCCGCCGTATCTTACTCTGTTTCAGACCGGGAAAAAAGAAGAATACGACCCTTTAACAGGTTGTCTCACATGGCTGAACGAATTCGGAGAGTACCACAATGTACAGCTTAAGACAGAACTCAGGCGACTCCGGAAACTATACCCTCATGTCAACATCATTTACGCCGACTACTACAACTCCTTATACCGGTTTTTCAAAGAACCAGCCAAATACGGTTTGTGCCCCCTCACAAATCCTTTCCTTGAACCTCACGGTTGGATTTCTTAACTGATGTGTTTATGGATCTGTATTTTAGGGTTCAAGAACAGACCTTTGGTTGCTTGTTGCGGAGTTGGAGGTAAATTTAACTTCACTGTTAATGTAGAGTGTGGATACAGAGGAGTTAGCTACTGTCAAAACCCATCTGAGTATGTTAATTGGGATGGTTATCATTTAACCGAAGCCACGCACCAGAAGTTGGTTTACGGTATACTCAATGGTCCCTATGCAACTCCTGCTTTCGACTGGTCCTGCCCTGGCTCTCCATCAGTGGATAAGGAGTACTTTTTCAGCAGTTAGAAGAATTCATTTGTTTGTACAAACTGTTAATGATGATTAGCATGAACAATTGTACGACAAGGTGCTGGCACAATATAAGTTTGAATAATTGACTAATGTATGCAGACAAGAGATAATCTTCCTTGATAGTAACTTAGTAACGTATCGTTTATAGATGAAAGGAAAAGTTACAACAAATTTTTTATTAACTAGTATTTATGATCGAATAGAACTAGAAATCTAGAAGTTATCGAAGAAATGTATAAAAAAAGAAAAAGAATAAAAAGGGCCGAGATTCGAGAGGAATGGCAGAGATTGGGACATGTGAATAAAGTGTATTGAATGCATGAATCAGAAAGATCTATCTGTCCTTATCACGAACAGTATGGTGCTATAAATAATGCCAGAATTCTGCATTATATAGTGGTAGAAAAAAAGATAATAAAAAAAAAATAGAGTAACAGAGACGACAACGACTCGTCTCTCTTTCCATGGCTTCTCCACTGAAGAAACTCATCTTCAGCTTTCTACTTATCTTTTCCTCCGCCATCATCTTTGCCTCATCAGAACCACCGTGTCGGCATTATAAATCGATCATTAGCTTCGGTGATTCCAGCGCCGACACAGGAAATTTTATCCGTCTCTCAGACGTCAATCATCCTCCTCAAGGCGCCTTCCTTCCTTACGGCGAAACCTTCTTCCATTCTTCCACCGGCCGTTACTCCGACGGCCGCCTCATCATCGACTTTATCGGTTCGTAATTTCTCCGCTTTCTTTCTAACAGAGATTTAGCTAAACCACTTGCATTCATCTGCTTTTGGTCTTACTTGCTTGAACAGCAAGTTAAAAACCGTACTTGCTCCGGAGTTTATGTAATGTTGTGCTCATTTTTGGATTCTGTAACAGCCGAATTCTTGGGACTTCCGTACGTACCGCCTTACTTCGGATCCCAAAATGTTAGCTTGGAGAATGGGATCAATTTTGCTGTGTATGGAGCGACAGCCTTGGATCGTGCGTTTCTTGTCGAAAAAGGAATTGTATCTGATTTCACCAATGTTAGTTTAAGTGTTCAGCTCAACATCTTCAAGCAGATTTTACCTAACCTCTGTGCCTCGCCATCTCGTGGTTAGAAACTTGGCCTTTCTCTCTTCCATATCTATTGATGAATCAAGCTCGCTTCTAACGGTTTCAGTTTTTTTCCGGCTTTAGATTGCAGAGAGATGCTTGGAGACTCACTGATACTCATGGGAGAGATTGGAGTGAACGACTATAATTACCCGTTGTGCGAAGGCAAAAGTATCAATGACATCAAAGAGCTTGTTCCTCTAGTCACCAAAGCTATTTCCTCTGCGATTGTGGTAACAAATCTTTACGTTTCCACCCACCGAATAACTCGTTTGATTGATAATTTAACAGATGAGGCAACGAAACTACAGGATTTGGTCGACTTGGGAGGCAAAACATTTCTGGTGCCTGGAAACTTTCCACTTGGATGTTACCCCTCGTATCTTACTCTGTTTCAGACCACGGAAGAAGAAGAACTCGACCCTTTTACGGGTTGTCTTCCATGGCTCAACGAATTCGGGGAGCACCACAATGAACAGCTTAAGAAAGAACTTAAACGACTCCAAAAACTCTACCCTCATGTCAGCATCATTTACGCTGACTACTACAACTCTATGTACCGGTTTTTCCAAGAACCAGCCAAATACGGTCAGTGCGCCTTTAAAACTCTGCCCTTGACGCTCACGGTTGGATTCATTAACTGATGTTTTTATGGTTTTTAGGGTTCAAGAACAGGCCTTTGGGTGCTTGTTGTGGAGTTGGAGGTAAATACAACTTCACTGTTAATAAAGAGTGTGGATATAGAGGAGTTAGCTACTGTCAAAATACATCTGAGTATGTTAATTGGGATGGTTATCATTTAACCGAAGCTACGCACCAGAAGATGGCTCATGGCTTATTGAACGGTCCCTATGCAACTCCTGCTTTCGACTGGTCTTGCCTTGGCTCTGCATCACCCGATAAAGAGTATCCTTTCAGCATTTAAAGCTCAGATTTTTGTGGAAACGGCAAGAGAAGAAAATATAGGTGGTGATGATTATTAACAACAAGAATAAAACCAGAAAAGGAAAAGAAACAAGAAGAGGTTGCTTGTACGGCAAAGTTTTGGTACAATCAAGGATAAAAACATCAAAGAGAGCATATGTGCCAACCATATTCTATCTGATGATGGTAGATGCACTCCAGATATAATCTTCATTAGTATCTAATTTTTTTTTTTTTTTTTATCATAAGTGTGAAGAAATTGCTATTTTGAATTGTTTAAAACTAAACATGATACTAAAATTATTTTCAGATCTCCTTAGAATTAGCTCATTATTCGAACTCAGCTTACCTATTTTCACAACAAAGCTACACAATATTTTTTTCAAAAAAACAAAGCTAAACAATATCACCGTGTCTCGAATTTTCAAAAAACGCACACACACACATTCTCTCTTTCTCTTTCAGTTTTAATATTAGTCGATTATAATTTAAATGTCTTTACTCTTCCCCTAATGCTAGATAGAATTGAAGGCATTATGGGGGTGTTGAGGAGAAGCTCTATTTTTTATTCCGAGAGAAAAAGCGTGTTTCTTCTCTAATTTGGGGATTTTAAGAGTTCGCAAGTTTTGGGGTTATGGTTCAATTTCATGTCGGGGTTGGTTTAATTTTAATTTGAGTATGCTCGGTTCAGTGTAAAAAGGTAAAGCATGTGAATTTTAGTTTTCTAACCCACAATGGCTTGAAAGAAAACTTTTACCAGTGTAATTAATTACATGTGAATACTCGTCGGACGAATATAAAAGCACGGGTGGTTACTTTGTGTATTTATTTGGGCAGTAAAAGTATTTTCCAGAAACGCAAAAGGTTTGTATTTCTGTGGAAATGTTGAAAAGATTGTTGTCTTTTTATGGAGTCATCTGGATTTTTACAAGCTTATTTCTTTATTATTCTTGTCAAAAAAAAATCTACAACTTAGAAGTTTTTCTTTTAAAACTGTATCCTAACGAAAAAGGTAACATTTTTTTGATTAAATTACACCCAAGTCCAGCTATTTTCACATAAAAATGGGAAATAACTCATGAGAAACAATATTATAAAAGGGGAAAACATTCATTACTTTTTGTCTTTTTGCCTAATGACACAATATTTCAAAAAGTTATACTTTCCACGTTTGACAAACATATGTGCATGCATGGTAAGTGGTAACATAAAGAAAATAATCCAAAAGTTTTAAAAAGAAAAGAAAGTAACGGTTGATGCCAGAAAAAAAAAAAAAAACAGTCACAAAAGAAAAGAAAGAAAAAAAAAGTGAAAAGAGTAACGGTTGCAAAATTTAGATAAAAATAGTTATTACAAAAAGAAAAGACAAAACTAGTTAAAAGTTAAAACTGAGATACTCGTGTCACTTGTCAGTTGAAGAAGATATGAAATACAACTGATTGGGCAGAATCCAATGGTAAACAACAGGTGTGACAGTCGTTATCTCCTTGTTCACTTTTCCTTACATAACATATCTTTTTTTACTTTTCTAAAATTAAAACATTAGTTTTAAGCAGAAAAAAACAAAACGAAACGTTGTTTTTATTTGTATTTTTAACAAAAACAAAGCAAACATTTCTAATTATGTCATAAAGTAATGATTATATTAACTGCTTCGTGTCACTCTCACTGTTCGTCTTTTTCCAACTTGAGATAGTCTGCGTCTATAAAATTGATGACTATTTATTTATTTATCTCATTAATTCATAGATTTTCCTCGATGCACCTAATTAGTTCGTATTTGAATAATGATAATCAGAATATAGAGTATATTTTCATTGCCATGTTAATTTGGTGTTACATGTTGTAGAAAAGCTTAAATTAACAGATTAACAGAAAATAATACTTTGAAATAACCTTACCGATAGCACACATATGGCCTAGATTTATTAGTATACTTACTGATAGCACAACTATAACTAATACTGCCTGTTGTAAAAAAAACAAAAACATAATACTTTCTATGAAAATAATCTATTGGTTAATTTTAATTTCACATAATAATAATTAGTATAATTTAGTAAAATAAAAAATTTAGGTTTTAAAATTTAGCTCATAAATCATATAATGATAAAATATATAATAATTTTTTTTAAAAATTTTAAAAATTAAAAAATTTTAATTTGCGGCACCACATTCATACAAAATTAAAATAAAAAATAAGTATATATACGTCAAATATTATATTAAACTATTCGTGTATATGTAGAATTAAACTATCTATTACAGTTACTATAATATATTTTACATAAATTTATAATTTTTTATATAATTTTTAAAGTTCTAAATTATAATTTTTTCATCATAAAAATTAAAAAAAGTTAAAGGTGTAAATTTTTTAACCACTTGGCATTGAAAAGATAAGGTTCTCGAGACTTTCTTCTCATGAGGTGTATATAAGGTATTCATTTTGCCTGTATCCACCTCTTTTCCAATTTGCATATATCTCAACTATTTCTGTGTTTCTCTTTCTATGATCGTCTATATTAGGTATTTTATGTTATTTTCTTTGTATATTTCATTTATACTGTAATTTAGTTCTACACAAAAAGAAATTATATATTTTATTATAAAAAAACAGAAATACCTTTTTAAGAGATTTTTGTTTCTAGATAAAGAGTGTATACCAAATTGATTTTCAATATTATTCTTTTGTATATTTGGTTTCTAAGTATCCTATATATTTACTTAGTTTCATTTCTTCAAATTTCAATCTTTTTCTTTAGTGTCTTTAATCTATTTTCAATGTATATGTCTTTTTCGTTTTGATTTATATTTTGTTTGTATTTCTTTGAATATGAATTGTTAGTTTTCATTTTTTCCGAAATATTTTGCTTCATATATTTTTAGATATAGTTTAGAATTTTATTATTCGTGTATCAAGATAAATTTTTTTTTATATTAAACCATAAATTTCATAAATATTTTGATAGATGCACTTGTTTGAGATTTATGTTTTTGGATTTGTAAATGTCCACACATTTTTTTTATATGTAGATTTATTTTATATATACTTACACTGATTTTTTTTAAACACACAAATTATTTTTAAATAAATTAATATCAGCCTTTCATTCAACAAATATATCTATACATATCGAACTTTTCTATCCAATAATCTAAAAATTTTCGTTTATCGATCATTACTTCTTCTTTTTTGTTGACAGCTTCGACATTTTATTGATCATTGTTTTTCTGTTGTTTATCTTCTAGATCAACAATATTTCTCAAAATACATAATCATATATATGTAAGTCGCTAACCAATAATTTAAACCAGAAAATACTAACCAGTTGAGTACGAGTTAGTTTTTTATGATTCCATTTCAAAAGTTGATTTTCGAAAGGTTGAAAATGTTTCAATTTGATTTGTTCCCCTCAATTCTTACCCATCTGATGTTTAAATATCTATGTATATATGTCTGAGTAGCATGATTATCATACAACAAATGATCCCACATTTGTGAGATTGAAATAAAATTGTCGTACTACGGAGTTAACCAAGCACACATACAATTTTTTAATCTCTCGGCTATCGATCTTTCAGGTAAGAAAACCAGTCATTATGGATTTGTATGACGATATCTTCAACGATCAACTATTGCAATTCAGTCCTTTGTGCCTCTCCCCACCACCAGAACCATTTACTCCATTAATGGTATAATATTTAGTTATTTGTTTTTTTTGCGTTTTAGATTTAAATTATAAAGGTATATATAGTTTGATGTATATATATAATATATTGATGATAAAATCAAAGTGATGACTTTGTCTTATATAAAGGAGTTTTTGCGAGACCCTATAATGGAAGAAACTGAGAACGTGGGCGAAGTGACGGTTGGATTAACCCCTAATCCTCCAATAAGCGAGGCTAACCGTTCAACGGGTACACATTCCCCAAATCTAATTCCACCTCCAGAGACATTAACACTAGCGCAAAATCCACCTGAAATGGTATACATTTTTTTAACAACGTAATTTTTTTTTAATTATATAGGCCATCAAATCAAAAACGTATAATGAAATAATTATAATAATTAAATCCATTTTCACTGTATCTAAGCAGGAGCAACAACAGCTATTATACGGTTCGCATGGGTATTTACAAGAAACCCTACCAAACGAACAATTAGATCAACATTCTGTTCTAGATCAAATCATGTTGGATTATTTTCAAGAGCCCGGTGTTAATGCAATGGTAAATTTAAGATTTCAGTTTTTATTTTTTCAATTTAATATATAGTATTGATTATTTTTTTCATTTTTGGCTTTTGCTGAATATTATATATATTCATGAGCTAGATAGAATCTTTACTATATACTAGCAAAAGTTAAACCATCAATAAGCTAATATTAATAGTCAAACTCGTTTTCATTTTCTCTAAGCAGCAACAACATCAACAAGTTTTATGCAATTCAGATGGGCATTTACAAGGAAACTTAACAGATGGACAATTGGATCAGCAATCTCTGCTCAATCAAATCATCATGAGTTGTTTTCAACAACCAAGTGATTCTACAATGGTAAATTGAATAATTCATTTTTAACTTTGTATTTAATATATTTACTTGATCATTATTTAATTTATTTTTCTATTATTTTTCTTTGGTCATCAGTTATTTTAAATTAGTTTTCTGCTGAAGTAAACTATCAATGATAATATATTAATAATTAAACTCGGCTTTACTTCCTATAAACAGCAACAAGAACAATTAGTATGCAATTCACATGGGGTTTTACAAGGAAATTTACCAAACGGACAACGGGATCATGAACAATCTTTGTTCAATCAGAACATGATGGGTTCTGTTCAACAACCAAATGACTCTACAATGGTAAATATAAAAATTTACTTTTAATTCCTGATCAATAATTTCTTTTATTTTTAATTAGTTTTGATGACTATATATATATACCGTGTATGTGCCAGAGCGATATTGGTCAACAAATAGAGGAAGAAAACAGCAGATATGCACATCCAACAATGACTCAATCTTTTGAGTTACCAAATGATCTTCAAGAGCAGTTTCTATCCGTACCTTTGTATGTAACTAATTATTTACAAATACAATATTTTGTATGTTCATTATATTGTTTTACTATTTTTAATATGGATGTTACTTTCATGAAATATACAGATCACAAAGTTACTCGTCATATCCGACGTATCAGCATGGCCCAGTTGCTTCACATTTCAACATGTACGACCAGCAACATCTTCCATTAGTTTTAGCCAACAGTGAAGAACGACCTCTCGTCCCAAGGATGGTTACAGATGTAGCAAGGTAAGCTATTTGTATAAAAAATTTAGTAGTGCTTAATATTAACTCAAAACCGTAATAATGTCTGAGCAACCAGAAATTGTGACTCCACTTACATTAAACATATTTATGATCATCAATCTAAGATAGAAGATTGTATTCTTCTCTCTATATTGAATTTGTTTCCTTTAACGTATATAATTGCATATGAATTTGTTGCACTAAATTTTACAATCATATAACAACACGGTTATATATTTATTTTTAAAATAATTTGGGTTTTATGCAGGACTCCTCCTCTACCTCAAATGCCGTCGAGCTCTACAAGGCATAACTCCAAACATAGTCGATCACTCGATCTAGTCCAAGGGATATATTAAATAAGTTTTTGTGTTCCACAGTAAAAGTATTCATGTTCAGTCCTCGTTTTTATAGGAACCAAGAAAACGTGCAAGAACAAGTAAATCAGGATTTGCCGAGGTTTAGTTACCCTACCCTCGACACTTATGCACAAGCACTTCCATGCACGAACTCATTATCTTCCATACAGGTACCATATTTTCGATTCAGTGTATGAAACTATTTTTCAGAATTGTTTATTTCAATATGTTTGAATTACTAAAACTTTATTGACAACATGTACATAACAGATCAACGTTTTAAAAGGTCGAGAAAGAAGTTACCAAAGCCACATTGAGTACGGGGAATCATCATCTTCTGCTCAACGAAGGGTATTATTTATCAAAATGCACATAAATTTAATTCTACAATATAGACTAAATTAATTGAAAAAATTATAGAAAAGTTAATACGATTTGATTAAACAACGCAGAGAAACATATTGCCAAAAAGGAATGTTGACTCAAGTGCAGCCAATCCTGGTCAAGAAAGGTGTATACTTTCCCATCTATTTCTTTCATAGTTGAGTTCGCATTTTCATAAGAATCTCGATCTGAAATGGTTTATTAATTGATCACTCATTTATGAATTATTTGACCAAGGCTATACATAAAATCCACAGTTTAGATACTGACTTCCATATAAGATTTTGTTTTGTTTTATAAAGAAGTAATTTATTATAAAATGGTTATGGTGGTGATATGTTTTTAACGAGGTGATGAGAGGAAGAAGCTGATTATTTAACGTACAGTTACGTGCACATGCTGCTTAAGTGCTCATGCAGATGCTATCTACTTATAAAGCTAGCATGACACATACATATAATGAAGTAGTTAACTACACGATTAAGTAATTAGTATACCGCATTTGATAATTAGTTAGTTACATGATAATTGCTAGCTTACAAAGTTTATTTATATAACTTTATACTTTAAAATGTCTATCACATTCTCAATCTGAGATAAATATGCAACCATTAGCTATTAAGAAACGAAATGTTTACGAATATAACTAATCAATTCGTTCCCCTTTTTTTTGTTTTCAGGCTACAAAATTCACTATATGATATAAGATATAAAAGCCTCGGTTTAGCAATGGATCCCCACCTGAGAAAATTTTCTCGATTGCCTGTGAAAAAAGGTAAATAACCAATTCTTAATTAATTAAAAACTTTTTATGCGTTTTATATCGATGATGAATTCCAACAATAATCAAGAACCCAATACTACAACATTGATGATGAGTTGATTACTTGATTATTATTCTTCTCAATATATATCTTCCAAGCTTATTGTAATCATTCCTGATTTTTTTAATATATCTCCTTAGTTATAGGGCAGTGACCAAGTTCAATCCAGAGTTTCAAGAACTGAGAGATGTTTCCATCAGAAGATCCACAAAATGATCAGATTGGATCATAGGATGCATATCAAACAATAGAATATTAATGTAAAATATTATTCAACATTGCACCCCGTTTCAATTTTCTTTATAATTCCCTCCAAGACATTTAAAAGAGTCTATTCTTATATTTGGAATATATAAGAGTAGAAGAATCTTTGAAACTTTCAGTTATGAATCACAATGATCCCTTTCTAATAGGCATGTCCAAAAAGGTGTTTAAAGGTACTATGTCATAAAATCATTTGGACCAAACAGTCCATTACCAAATTTGACAAAAATACAAAAAATAAAAAACTAGTAATATGCAAGTGTAGTAGGTATTTTCTTGAGGGGTGCTATAAAAGTCCACACACCCATTTTAAACGAGCCAATTTAATAAAGTTTTTGTCAAAATAAATTGCCTTTGTCCCATTCTTATTTATAACACAAGCAAGAAGGGCTCATGACTCACAACTACTCGTCGGCCCATTCCTCCACCACTTGTCAGTCACTGTCTTTTTCCTGTTGTTGTCTGAAAACATTTTAACTTTTCCAGAACAAAAAAAAAAAGGATTTTGCAATCAAAAGCAAGATAGAGATAGAAAAGGGCACTTCTCGCATGGCGTCTCTAGATTCTCATGTGCTTATGAAGCTCGTGAGCTTCTATTTATCTACTCTTCTAGTCAGCACTCTCGTGAGCTCGGAAACTACATGCCGCGGTTTCGGGTCGATCATCAGTTTCGGCGATTCGATTGCCGACACCGGAAACTTGATCGGTCTCTCTGCTCCTGGCGAATTTCCTTTATCCGCGTTTCCGCCTTACGGTGAAACCTTCTTCCACTACCCAACCGGTCGTTTCTCCGATGGCCGCCTCGTTATCGACTTCATAGGTACTTTCTTTCTATTTCACAATAATTGGTTCTTCCTCTGTTTTTCCTCTGTTTTATTGTTTTTGCGACACGGTTATCTATTTAACACGAACTGATATCAGCGAGAATGATGTTGTAATTTGTCTCAATTTGGTTACTTTTTAATTTTTTTGGATTCGACTGTGATTTAATCTTTGAGAAGAATCCAAAATAAAATAATGATAAGTCATTAGTTGTCTTCAGCTCTTTCTCTGTTCTTCCTCTGTTTTCATGTTTTGGCTCAACTATTTCCGATTAAAAAAAAAAAAACATTATATTCTTGTTCTTGTTCACAGCTGAATTCTTAGGGTTCCCACATGTGCCTCCTTTTTATGGATCTAACAATGGAAACTTTGAGAAAGGGGTTAACTTCGCTGTGGGTGGAGCAACGGCACTGGAAAGTTCCTTTCTTGAGAAGAGAGGGATCCATTGTCCTCGTGGCAACATCAGTTTAAGAGTTCAGCTTGAGAGCTTCAAGGAGAGTTTACCAAACCTATGTGGCTCGCCATCAGGTGGTGAAGAAGATCAATAGAGTGATTATTATTATGTGTTTAGGCTATTTGCAGTTTGAATTGAGCTTACTTGTAAATGGTTTCTACTTTTGCTTTTTTTGGTTTTAGATTGTAGAGATATGACCGGAAATGCTTTGATTCTCATGGGAGAGATTGGAGGGAATGATTTCAATTATCCGTTCTTCCATCACAACTCCTTTGAAGAGATCAAAGAGCTCGTTCCGTTTGTGATCACTACTATTTCTTCAGCAATCACGGTAAAAAAATTGTTGATCTTCGATGAATAGTTTATCAAAAAGAAACAGTACATGTTAAGCTGTTTTGTGTCTGAATGATGAATCCAGGAGCTGGTCGATATGGGAGGAAGAACATTCCTAGTCCCTGGAAACTTCCCGCTCGGATGCTCTGTGATCTATTTGACATTATACCAAACACCAAACAAGGAAGAGTACGATCCTTCAACAGGATGCTTAACATGGCTTAACGAGTTTGCAGAATACTACAACGACCAGCTTCAGACAGAACTCAACAGACTCAGGAAGCTTTACCCTCACGTCAACATCATATACGCAGACTACTACAACGCTCTGTTTCGCCTTATCAAAGAACCAACCAAATTCGGTATAGACACTTCTTTTGATTCCTCCTACACTCAAAATCTGAATCTACCACACAATCAAGTTCTCCTCGTTTCAGCATCTGACTGATTTCTCAATCAAATGATACTGTCAGGGCTCATGAACAACCCCTTCCCCGTTTGTTGCGGTCTAGGAGGACCGTACAACTTCAGCGTTGGTGTAAGTTGTGGGAACAAAGGAGTTGGGTGTTGTGATGATCCTTCAAAGTATTTGAATTGGGACGGTATTCATATGACTGAAGCTGCGTACAGATTGGTTGCTGAGGGCTTACTCAAAGGACCCTATGCGATTCCTCCTTTCGATTGGTCTTGTCTCAGCTCTGAGGTTAAGAACAAGGAGTCATTAGACACACAATATTCTTTGATGAACATGTGATACAAAAGCTTTGTCTCAAAACTTTTGAGAGATAAAAGATATAAAGAAAAACATATATGTATTATTGTATTGTATCCTATATTGTATTGTATAATTTGTATCGTCTTTGTCTGCAAGAAAGTTGTCTCAAAGCCCGTAACCACTCCCATCTTTTTGTTGTCTCATCCAATAATTGCTTTTTTTATTTATCTATTTTTATGGTGGAAAATAAAATTGCAAATAAATGATAAAGAGGAAATGAATTTTAAACTTGAAAGGGACGACGACGGAGAGTAGTGACCTCGGAGAGACTCGCATGGCGTGTTCAGATTCTCCTCCGTTGATGAAGCTCCTGATCTTCTTTGTACTCACTCTCTTAGTCACTTCCGTGAACTCGGAAACGCAGTGCCGGAAGTTCAAATCGATCATCAGCTTCGGCGATTCGCTTGCCGACACCGGGAACTTGCTCGGCCTCTCTGATCCTAACAATCCACCTCACGTCGGGTTTCCTCCGTACGGAGAGACCTTCTTCCACCATCCCACCGGTCGTTTCTCTAACGGCCGTCTCGTCATCGATTTCATTGGTACCTCTTTTACTGTGTCCTCTTTATCTTTGTCTTTACTTCGAACTCTGGTTTGTGGGTGAGTGTCTTTAAGGTGAATTTGCAATCTTTTAGCTGCTACTCAAGAGTATTTCCTAAAAAGATGAAATCTTCAGAACAATTCGGATCCTGTACTGTTTGGATTGAAATCGACTCTTTTAAAATTACGAACAAAAAAACTCTTTTAGTGAAATCATGGACTTCTAATTGTATTTGGTTTCACAGTGAATCTTAATGTATTTGTTAGTTTAAACGCTTAGCAGCAAACATAGTAATTGTCTTAAGTTCGTCGTTTAACTCTTCTTCTTCTGGACCCTCTTGATTGATTGTATAAAAGGTGAAAACATCTGATTACAAATAACCATTATGTGTGGTGTGGTTAAGCCTCATTGGTTCCTTAACATCCCACTTCTCTCATACTCTTTCCCTTACGGTTCTTCTTCGCAGCTGAATTCTTGGGTTTGCCGCTTGTGCCTCCTTTCTATGGATCTCAAAATGCAAACTTTGAGAAGGGAGTTAATTTCGCGGTCGGTGGAGCAACGGCACTGGACCGTTCCTTTCTTGAGGAGAGAGGGATCCATTTTGATTACACCAACGTTAGTTTAAGCGTTCAGCTTAGGAGCTTCAAGGATATTTTGCCCAGCTTATGTGGCTCTCCTTCAGGCGTGAAAAGATAACAACTTTTTTTTGTTTCCTGTTTTTTGGTGTTTCCTGTTTTATATGATTAGAAGAACATCAGATCTTTATTTCTTATTCTTCAACCATATCCCATTAGAGTTGCTGAGTAAGTATTTCAGCTCCCCTCAAAATTAGCCACATAGGACAGGTTTTGAAGGCCATTACTGAGTCACTTTAGATTTGTCCTTTTAAAGGTTCTAGCAGCAGACCTCATACTCAGCTTTGTGTTAAAAGCAGAGTGTCATCACACAAAAAAGGCTCGTTCTGTTTTGGGTTATGCTTAGAGATCTTACCAGTTTCTGTTAAACTGCAATGGATCGGTTTCACTTGGAAAATAATGGCTTTACAATTCTTGTTTTAGACTGCAGAGATATGATCGAGAATGCATTGATACTAATGGGAGAAATTGGAGGTAATGACTATAATTACGCATTCTTCGTGGGCAAACCCGTCCAAGAGATCAAAGAGCTGGTTCCACTGGTTATCAGTACTGTTTCTTCTGCAATCACGGTAACGTATAGAATTCTTGATCTGCCTTTATCTAGGGAACAGCGAAAGCACAAACCTTGTCTGTTTTTGTTTTGGTTTTGTTTTTGGGACTGAACATCGAAAAGCATAATACAGGAGTTGATCGATATGGGGGGAAGAACATTTCTGGTGCCTGGAGATTTCCCACTCGGTTGCTCAGTGTCGTATTTGACACAATATCAAACATCAAACATGGAAGAATACGATCCTGTAACAGGATGTTTGAAATGGCTGAACAAGTTTGGAGAATACTACAACGAGCAGCTTCAGGAAGAACTCAGCAGACTCAGGAAGCTTTACCCTCATGTCAACATCATATACGCCGACTACTACAACGCTCAGTTGCGACTTTTCCAAGAACCAGCCAAATTCGGTTAGGCTTCTTGATCCTACACGGCCAAGTTCATTGATTCGATTTGCTATCTAACCAAGTTAATCAATCCCAATCATATTGTACGATCAGGGTTTATGAACAGGCCCCTGCCGGCTTGTTGCGGTGTAGGAGGATCGTACCACTTCACGCTTGGTAAGAAATGTGGCTTTGAAGGAGTTGAGTTTTGTAATGATCCTTCAAAGTACGTGAACTGGGATGGTGTTCATCAGACTGAGGCTGCGTATAGTTTGCTAGCTGAGGGTTTACTTAAGGGACCCTATGCGATTCCACCTTTCGATTGGTCTTGCCTCAGCTCTGAAATTAAGAACAATGGATCATCTGAGTCAGAGTAACTGATGTCAGTTGGTCTGAAATGAGACTGACCGATCAATACATGTATGTTCTTGAGTTCTTGTCATGGATCATGTATATTGTATTATGTTCTTCAACTGATTTTATTGGTTTCATTTGATGTTTCTGCTCATGAGACTATAACAATGATCAACACAATTGAAAAAAAAAAAAAAAACGATTTGTGAAAGGGTTTGTTGGATATGAAACGAAAATGGAAGTTTTTTTAAAACAAAATCAAAATTAGCAATGGTGAGGGTCAGTGTCTGTGTCAGTTAATTACACGACGACAGGCTCTTGTCCTCAATTTTCAAATCCCCCAACAATGGCCATTGCTGAATCATACATTGCTCTGCTCTTCTTTACAGTCGTCTTCCCATGGCTTCTCCGATTCATCATCTGTTCAAGAAACTCAAAACCTTCTTTCTATTTACTTCGCTAACAACAGCCCTAATAAGCTCAGAACAACAGTGCCGGAACTTCGAATCGATTATCAGCTTCGGCGATTCGATAACCGACACCGGGAACTTGCTCCGTCTCTCCGACCCTAACGACCTTCCTCTTGCCGCATTTCCGCCGTACGGAGAAACCTTCTTCCACATCCCCACCGGTCGTTTCTCCGATGGCCGCCTCATCATCGACTTCATCGGTAATCCTCTCTTTTATCTCTCTTACTAATTGATTGTGAACTCGTCTTCTCGATTTTTTTTTCCTATTTCCTTAACAATTTGGATGGAGTTTCTTCTCGATTCTGTCTCAGTGTTGAAGTCACCCAACTGTTTATCTTATTACATTTTTGTTGTTTTGTATTTCAATGATGTGTTGTAAATCTGTGGGAAGAAGCCAAAGTTTCTTAATAAAATCTTTATCGTTTATGCTTTTTCTTCTCTTTGTCAACAGTATGAAACCTTAAGTGATTCTTCTAATTTCTCTTCTTGGGAATATATTAACAGCTGAATCTTTGGGGCTTCCTTATGTGCCTCCATACTATCGATCTCAAAATGGAACCTTTGAGAAAGGAGTTAACTTCGCTGTAGCCGGAGCAACGGCACTGGAACGTGTCGTTCTTGAAAGCAGAGGAATCCATTATGCTCACACCAACGTTAGTCTAGGAGTTCAGCTTCAGAGCTTCAAGACAAGTTTACCAAATCTTTGTGGTTCACCTGCAGGTAACTAATGAAAGATCAACCATCTTTTCTCGGATTAGTTTTAGAAGTTCAGTTACTTACAACATAGCTTCTCTATTACTGTTTTAGCTCACTTGTAATGGTTTCTCATAGATTGCAAAGAAATGATTGGAAAAGCTTTGATTATCGTTGGAGAGATCGGAGGGAATGATTACAACTACGGGTTCTTGGTTGGGAAAAGCATCGAGGAGATAAAAGAGCTGGTTCCGCTAGTGATCAGTACCATCTCTTCTGTAATTACGGTAAACACATTGTCTCTTAGCTTTTGATCTGAATAACCAGAGCTGTGTGAGACTGAATCTTGAACGCATATAACACAATATATAGGAGTTGGTCAGTATGGGAGGCAGAACGATCATGGTGCCTTCAGACCTCCCGATCGGATGCTGGACATCGTTTTTAACTCAGTTTCAAACATGGAACAAAGAAGAATACGATCCTTCAACAGGATGTTTGAATTGGCTGAACGAGTTTGCAGAACATCACAACGAGGAGCTTCAGGCAGAACTCAGCAGACTCCAGAGACTTTACCCTCACGTCACAATCCTATACGCTGATTACTACAACGCCTTGTTACATATCTTCCAAGAACCGGCCAAATTCGGTTATTTTTCTCAACCCTCCCTCGGCTTAAATCTGTGATGTACCCATTTTGCTAAAACCGGTTCTTGTGTGTGGTCAGGGTTCATGGACAGACCCTTGTCCGCTTGCTGTGGATCAGGAGGTCCGTACAACTACAACAGTGTTAGCCTGTGCGGGGCTAAAGGAGTGGATTGTTGTATTGATCCTTCAAAGTATGTGCATTGGGACGGTTTACATTTAACCGAGTCTGCTTATCGATGGATCGCCACGGGATTACTCCAAGGACCCTACACGGTTCCTGGTTTCGATTGGTCCTGCCTCGGCTTTGGAATCAAGAACAGATCATCATCAGGTGAACAGTATTCTTTAGGCAGTAGGTGATTCGAACAGCTCTCAAAGCCTGTGTTGTATTGTATCACTGTTGTGTGTGTGTTATGTGTGTATTTAAAGAAAAAAACATGTAAAACCGACTTGTATTATTATTATCGCTACGGCAGAATAATCCGGTTTGGTTATTGATTAACCGAATAGCCGAATCAACAACCGGTTAAACAATTTAAGTATTTAACCGAGTTTTCTTTCTTCAGGCGCTTCTTTCTCTACGAGGACGACGATTTCGCGCACCTTGTCTCCCTCCATGACGAGCTTCTTCGGTTGATTCCAGTTTTTCGAAACCCTAATTTAGCGTTTTCCCTGGGAAGCCGTAACAAGCTCCATTAGAGAATCTCGCGAAAAGATTTTCGCTATTGCAAAAACTCGAAACCTAACGAATCTCAATTAAATCTCTCATACTCTGCGAATTTCACAGACTGATTCTCTCGTCGAGAAATATGGAGAGCGAGAGCAGTGAAGAGATCGCTACCTCAGGTATACCAAGAGGAGGCCCAATTTATCTGCCAGACATGGTGGGAGAGCTTTCTACAATCCCAGAATTTCAGTCTTCTTTTCTCAATCTACTGCAGGATTTGGATACTCACTTGTCTCTCGAATCTCCTTCATCTTCTCAGCAATTCGATGTCTCGTATGTATCAATTCCATCAATTGTCTCTTCCTCTTCTATTTTTTTGATCCGGTTTATAAACTGGGATTTTCGTTGCAGAACTGATACTCTCAAGATTTATACAGAGGAGGAACTTGCAGATATGGCTATGAAGGAAGCCTTTCAGGTACACTACCAAAATTGGATTTATTTGCATTCTTTTGTTGTCTTTGAAGTGTATGGGTCTTGATGATGATGATGATGATGTTGGTTTCTTTGTTTCATCACAGGAAGATAACCTTTCTCAAATCGAGCTCGAACAATCTCTGGCCGTTTCTCATCCGTAAGTTATCTTTCCGGAATTTAAAGATAATGCTGCTGATTCTTGTGTGAATCCTTGATCAAATAAAATAAAACGAATTGGGATGTAGCTTTCTATGGTGGTTTTAAGTTTTTGTTCACAGACTCAATTTGGTTCTGATTCTGCTCTGCATGCTTCCAATATACCTTTTAAGCCTTGTTTCAGCTTTGTTATCTTGCAGTTTAAGATTATTGGTTGTGCTAAGCTTTCGAGAGACAAAGTAACGTTTGACTTAGACAATTGTAGAACGGTAACATAACGATGTTGCTTATGCATCCTGCAGTGAAAATCAATCAGATGGGAACGAAAGAATGGCGAAAAGGAGGAGGACCGTGAAGAAGACTTCTGAGGCGAAAAGTACAGTAAAGAAGGCTGTGGTGAAGAAGACAGTAAAGAAGACTGAGGTAAGTTTATGTTATATGGCGTTTGGCATGGCTGGTGGTTTATTTTCCAATACGTATTTGTGTTTTGGACCTCTTGATACCACATTTTACGAGGGGAATTACTATGAGAGTTCGAGTAATTTATGATTGATATGGTCACATTTCTTATTGTTTTCAGGATGCTTTCATTGCCAAATTAGAGCAGATTGTTAAACTCAAACAAAAGCAGGAGGATAAATCAGATGTGAGGCTACACTGCTTCAGGTCTGTGATTACTATTGGATAGTTTACTTTGCTTATGTACCTTATATTGTGTTTTGTGCTGATGTTACGATTTTTAACCTTCGTCCAGCGAAACTTGTGACAATGGTGAAGATGTAAGTACACCTCCAGAACGTTTCGAGAAGATGCAGTCTCTCAAGTCCATTGATAACTATACGGCAAGTGATTTTCCCTGGCAATTTCTTTTTGAATGTGCTACTCGCTGCTTATGCATCCTGCTAAAATGTTATCATCTTCCTATTTAGACAGCTGGTGAAGCCATCAGACATCCAGGGACCGGTAGATATGCTACATCCTGAAGTGATTCTGTGTATTGAGGTTTATAACAGTCGCAAATTAAAGGTACGCTGCACTGTTCTGTAAATCTTTCATGCACTATTAGAAAATTTTCTGAGAAATCAATGCCTTCTTCAGCCCCATACGAAACTCTTGTTCGATCGATATAGTTGATCAGATGTAGAGGCAAAACATTTGCAACACTGTTAACAATACTATCTGTGTGAAATTTTGTTCAGACCCAAGAATTTTTGGTACTAGGAAGTCAAATGTTGACGGTCCTAAAGGACAAGATACACTGTCTTACAGACCAGGTGATGGAAAAGTCTGGAAAGTATGATCCCTCTGGATACTTCCTCATTGAAGTAAGAATTTAATCTGTTCATTTTCATTATCTTTTGATGGCTAAACTAAGTTTAGTTCTTCTTCTTCTGTGTTTTATTAACCGGATGTTTTTTTTGCTTGTTTAGGATATCTTTTACAACGATTTAAGGAGTCCCTCGGCGATGGATTACAGCAAACCTGTATTAAATTGGCTATGGAACTCAAAAGATGAAGCTCGTAAAAGATGGGAAGGCATTATAACCGGAGAATCAAGGCAAAAGCAGAAAGCGGTGGTTCTAGGTGAAGCGAAAGCAATGGCTTTACCTCGTTTTGGATCTGCAGACATGCATAGTACACGCTTCAATGATTTAAGATTCAGAGTCGGAGCTAGTTATCGTTATTGTCATCAGGTAAGAACCCTATTCTTTTTTTTGTTTCTTCGATTCCCAAACATTTCTCACAGCCAAAAGAATGGGTTTACTGATTAAACCGTGAACAGGGAGACTGCAACCACATGATAGTGATACGAGACATGAGGCTGAGTCATCCAGAGGATGTTCAGAACAGAGCGGCTTACCCGAGACTCATGTTTCAATTGAAAGTGAGGGTTCAGAAATGCAACATCTGCAAGATATATAGAGCTACAAAGGTTACGATGGATGACAAGTGGGCTAAAGAGAATCATTGCTATTTCTGTGATGCTTGTTTTGCACTTATACACTTGGAGTCTTCCTCTCTTAAATTTGACTTGCCTGTTTTTGATTATGTGTATGAGTAAAATAGCTTCTTCTTGTTGAGAAAGACGCATGAAGAAGACATGTTGGCAAAGTTTATAATAGCAATTTTGATGCGAGTTTTTTTGACGGAAGAAGCCTGACCAAACCAAATTGAAGTGAAATTTCTTTTTAACAGGAAATAAACCGGTTTTTGTTTAAATTGAAAGCTTTCAATATTTTTTGGTACTGTAAATACTGAATTAGCAGTGAACCAATTCCGAATTTGATAAAAGCTAATAAGCTTATAAACCTAACCAACTTAAGCCGAAAAACCGAATGTTGGAGGCCTACAGAGATTTGCCAGGAATATATATATATGCATATCTCTATAAAAAGCACTAGAAAAATGGGATCCTATAAGAGTAAAATAAATCACAAATGGTTTTATGATGAATGTATGGTTTCGTCGTAAAAATCAGAGTATTACACTAGATTAATTATTAGTACCTATGTTTAGCCTATCCGATCGTTTTAGTGTAACAAAACAAAAACAAAAAAAGTAGAGGAGATTCCTTGAATCTCTGGTACCTCTCGTTGTCTTCCCAAATTCAAAAACTCAAATTGGTGTCCTCTCTAATTTAGAAAACGTTAAAAACAACAGAAACTAATTATTTTTAGAACCAAACAAAAGAAATTGAATATCGTCATCCCCAAGTTCTTGGAACAGCCAAATCATTTTCTCATTGTTGAATATTATTGTCTCAAGAACAATCTCACAAAGAAAAAGAGGTTAGTATTGGACAGAAGATGGGAGCATATAGAGCAGAAGACGATTACGATTACCTCTTCAAAGTGGTATTAACCGGAGACTCCGGCGTCGGAAAATCTAATCTGTTGTCTCGTTTCACCAGAAATGACTTCAGCCACGACTCACGTGCTACCATTGGTGTTGAATTCGCCACACGCAGCATCCAATGCGACGACAAGATCGTCAAGGCCCAAATTTGGGATACAGCCGGCCAAGAAAGGTAATTTGTTTTTCACTTGCGAGATTACATTAAGAACTGTATCTTTGTAAATAGTATAAGTAACAATAGTTAGCACGTTAATATGTTTATATCATTATATGGTAGACACAGATCATTTGATGTATCCATGGAGAGATCAATCGTACTACAGAAGAACTATTTTATGTTTATTCACGTGAATAACAAGTTGATAACGAGTTTTGACATATTTTGTCATTGCTTATCCCATGCAACTACTCTTCAGAAGTTAATTACGTTTTCTTGATTAATCAAATTCAAAATTAGGTACCGAGCCATCACGAGCGCATACTACCGAGGAGCCGTTGGTGCGTTGCTAGTCTACGACGTGACACGTCACGTGACGTTCGAGAACGTAGAGAGATGGCTAAAGGAGCTAAGGGACCACACGGACGCAAACATTGTGATAATGCTCGTTGGTAACAAAGCTGATCTTCGTCATCTTCGAGCCATCTCAACGGAAGAAGCCAAGGCCTTTGCAGAGAGAGAGAACACATTTTTCATGGAGACTTCTGCACTTGAAGCTGTGAATGTTGATAATGCGTTCACCGAAGTTCTCACTCAGATCTACAGAGTCGTTAGCAAGAAGGCTCTTGAAGCTGGAGATGATCCAACCACTGCTTTGCCTAAAGGACAGATGATTAACGTCGGAAGCAGAGATGATATCTCAGCCGTTAAAAACCCCGGTTGCTGCTCTGCATAGACACACCTCTCTCTCTCTCTCTCTTTTGTATTTTATCATTGGGTCAACATCAACATTTTTCACTAATTTCCTGCAAATTTGTATTACATTCTTGGAATTATCAGACAAAACAGAGTTCACACTCAAGTTATTTTTGTTTTGTTTTGTTTCTACTCTACAATCGCTTGCTTTGTGCTTTCTCTGCTTATAACGGAAAGATGTTCTTCAAAATGTACATGAAGATGGCCACTGTTGATGCACCAACTCGCGCCTCGTGCTGCTTTCCCTCACCTGCAAATAGAAGTTTAAAGATAATAGCATTCGAGTATGAAACCTAAAAAGTGTACTTCAAAATGATTCTTATAATTATAAGTTCTGTCTGGTAATGGCAGAGAGCTAGAGGTAGCAAAGAAGAAGAAATCCAGAACTTAACAGAACAGAGTTCATATAAATATTTCGACCTCTTTGGATCAAGCAGAGCTAAAGAATCTCTATCAGATATAAACAATTATAGAATGTTCATGGCATCATCACCAGAGCAAATCAAAACAATTCTCTTGAGAAAAGTTATGCTCTCGTCTGATCAAGAAATTAGTTCCAAACTTCCAATCACTTTAAAGCAAGAGCAGTGCTCGTTTTTTTTCGACTAATCCTAAACACATAATCAAGACGAAAAAACTAAACCTAAGAATCGAGATACTCTACTGAGCAAAAGGAATCTCACCAGGAAACGCAGACTCAGAATCATTTTTCTTCATCGCGTCCAGGTGGAGGAGTCTTAGCACTAGATTGGAGTGAAGGAAGAGGATTAGAGCCCTTTATGATCCAGCCGAGTCCGAAGAAGACGCCGCCGGCGAGAATCGCAGTTCCCCACGCGTGTGAGTACCACTTGCTGTACTGCCTGATTGCGAACTTCCACTGCTCCCTCAGCGTCGCCTGATCCGGATTCACCGACTCTGGCCGGTTAGGATACGACATCCTTTGACCCGGATAGCTCGAACCGGATCCGATCTCCGGCGTCGGTTTCTTCGTCGCGTTGTTGTTATCGGGGATTTGGCTCTTTTCCGCCATTGTCGTCGTCTAGATTCTTTGCTTCAGATGTTGAAAATGTTTTTTATCCTTTGTCGAACGACTTCGAAAGCCACTGACACGTGTCCGATAAATACACGTGGCGTGTTGTGCGAGCTCAATTTCTCTCAGTTGTGTACCGAAACGACGACGGTTAAGCTGTTTCGTCGACCGCAAACGTCCGGTAAAACCCCTTAGGGTTTAGGGACTCTGAGTTTTAATCAATCCGTCAATGGCTTCCGCTTCTACTGCTTCTTCTCTTCTCTTCCCCTCTCGAAATTTCACAACTATTCCGTCAATTCCACTCCGGAGAACCTCCGTGTCTTTCTTACGGTGTTGTTTTAAGAATCCTTCTGCGGCCACCACCAGCGAGGAGGACATTCTCCGTTTCGTGGCGAATTCCGACGGAAAGGCACTTCCATGTGTGCGGACGTACGAGAACAATTCAGCTCGGCTCAGCCTCGTCGGTACAGTAGCGTTTGATCAGGCTTTAACCGCGGCTGCCGCCGACGGTGGTGAAGCCGCCGATGAACACCTCCGTGAAAATGTCCCTGTCATGGTGGTCGAGACTGTTTTCCCCGGAGGATCCGATCCTAAGGCTACTGTTTCAACCAGATTGGTCAGTTTTGCCAGCTAAAGCTCTAATTTGAAATTCGTCTGCTTTTGATTCTGCTTTGAAGTTTTGAGTATTGACATTTTGAAGATAACTTCTTTTTGAACAGTTCTTGCCTACAAAGAAAGTTAAAGAGCGAGCTAAAAGACTACGGAGGTCTCTCTCAGAGGATCTTTCTAGCGGAGATTTGTCCAAGAACATACTTGCGATGACTTTTAGGCAAGTTGTTTTGCGGCAGCTGTGGAACTTTCAGCTGGTGTTATTTGGACCTGGAGCCGAAAGAGAAATGGGAGATTACGAAAACCCTCGAGAGGTTAACTTCGCTTTGATGTGATGTTTCTAGTGATATACTACTGAGCCTGCCAACTGGAAATATTGATACTGATAGGTTCCAGTTGTCTTTATTCATTTCGTATCAGCAGGTTTCTACATCCTTCACTCTTAGCTCATCAGATGAACGGGTTATCTCTGTTATTGCAGAAGTCATATGCATCTCCGCTCTTCAAAGCACTGAGAAGCACTTCCTCGATGATTATCTGGGAAAAGCCAAGTTTCCGTTTTTCAAGTGGTTAACCAAGCGCAGGAGGATTGCTTCAAGAGACAGCTCGGTTGTCCTGTACAAGGTGTTTGATGATGAGCTAAGCGAGAATACAAACCACTTGCTTGAGTATTTCCAATCAAGGAAGGAGAACTTCAAAGTTGCCGACACAAGGCAGAGAAGTCGGTGGTGGAACTTGTCTGCTGATTCTAAGTTGGAAAAAATTGGTGGCCCTGGGTTTAGCAGTTGGGCAAGTGAGTATCTACCAGCGTATCGACTAGAAATTGATACTACAATACTTGGGGACCTAAAGCTTGAAGGCTGGAGAAAGTCCAGTGAAGATAAGTGGGAGGTTCTTCTAACCCACTCCCAAATGGTATGGACTTAAAGCTTGAAGTTTTTTTTGTTCTTGATGCTTTGTAGGACATGGAATGACAAATGTGGCTCCCCCTTGATATATTTGCCTGGCTAGCATCTCTATTCGTTTGATATACATTCCTGACATTTGTGTAAATCTCTTTTAGGTTGGATTGGCTGAAGCATTGGATATTTACTTTGAAGATATATACTCACTGCCAAGGAAACAGCTCCCATGTGATGGTTTTGGAAATTACGCAAACTTACCCAGTGAAAAGGTATTGACTATGTGTATATAACCAGAGCCAGTCGACTGCGATTGATAAATCAATCACTCTCTGTATTTAATTGGTATCTCCATGATGAATCACTTGCTCTGTTTAATGGATCTGGTTACCTTCTGAACTATGTTTTCAGTCTGCAATATATATATATATATATATATATATATATATATTTCTTGTTTACTATTAGAACATGCAGCATTATGCTGGAGAGATGTTGTGATTTGATTAGATTGGCCTAGTTTTGGTAGCTTTGCCTGTGAAACTTCTGTTGAGTTTTTTTTGGTTTGCTTATTTTCTATTGACAGAGAGGACTGTCTTTGCTGAAAATGATATCTGTCACCATGGCCAGTGGAATTCTTCTTCTTGCTGTGAGTGCTGCGGCTCAATTCTGCATTCCACAGAAAAGCGAGAGAAAGTATCCTGGAAAACGCCAAGATATTCTATGGTCAGAGAGTGAATTGTTATCTAATCAATCTTCAGATTCCTCTGAGGTATGGATTTACCAAAGCACTTGTGTGTTCATATAGATGTGTAAAACAATGCAAGACCTATACATTATTAGTTTTGGCGTCTTTTTATCGCGTTTTCACTCTTTTTGAGACTTCAAATGAGTATAGTTGGAGTCATTCTGCGGGTTAATCGTCAACAAGCTCAAGGAGGCTTACTCTTGGGTAGGAGAGGTAACCCTAGAGAGCAGCATAGGCGCCTGGATTGGGGAAGTACCTGATTACTTGAAAGAAACCAGCAGAGCTAAATCCGTCGAAGATCACATGGTTACAAGCTCTTCTCTTCTGGATAAACTCAATGAAGACGCCAAGGCATCTGCGCAAGATATCGCTACTTACCAGGTAATATCCAGTGAGATTTGTCATGCATATATCTATCTTTTTTAATAAAACTGAAAAATCTTTATGATTGTTCATTTCTTTGTCTGGTTCTTTAATGGAAGCAGGTAGTGTTATCATCCGAAGGTAAAATTATAGGGTTTCAACCGACTAGCCGGGTGGCTGTGAATCACTGGGCGGCTAATCCTTTAGCCAAACAGCTTTACAGCGGAAGAAAACTCTCCCCTGGTAATTTCATGATCCTCTTCTTTCGAATCCTTTAATTTTAAATGCAATTCTTAATCCTTTTATGTGAGTATGATGATGATATATGTTCATCGTTTATGTTTACAGGGCTGATTGAGCCTGGTCTCAAGAGTCATCCTCTTACAAAAGTAGTTGTGTTGGAATTGTTGATGTCTGTGAATTCAGATCGTCCTTTTGCATTGGTCAGACCATTATTGCCACAATGACCATTAGCAAGTCTCTCTATAGATGAAATTTTACATTACATGTAGAAATATGATTTTTTGCTCGCGTCTGTGAAATAAAAATATCTCAAGTTTATTATTTTAGCTCCCTCTAAAGAGATCAGTGAGAACGTGATAGAACGATCACTGAATAGATTTTGAGCTCATTGGAGAAAGAACCCTTTTTATTTCTTTCCTCAAAGAAAAAGGAAACAAAAAAAAGGTAATATTTATCAAATTTTCCTATTCCGTGGGGATTCGGATATATCTATATTTGTGAGTGTGATGGCGATGGTAAATTAGACGGACATAGCAGTAGTTATGGTTAATTATCTAGCTCTGATTTCGGCTATTCGAACGAAGAAGAGGTCGCCAAAGGCGATGAGAAGAGGAAGAAGAAGACGAGGAGGAGAGAGATTGGAGATTCCTTTGGATGTCCAGGAGGAGATCCTGACTAGATTGCCTGCTAAATCGCTGATGAAGTTCAAGTGCGTCTCAAAGCTCTGGTCTGGTCTTATCCGTTCCCGATACTTGACCAACCGTTATATCAGTGTCGCGTCCCGACCACCGCGTCTGTACATGAGTTCGGTGGAACAACTCGGGTGTGCTTCAATGGAGGTCTTTCACAACCCGGGAAAGTCTCAGCTGGTATCCTTCTCATCATCGTCTAGTGACAGTGGCGAGTCTTTCAGCGCAGACTCGACCATGCCAGGGATGGGAGGAAGCAACATGGTGGCTCTTCGCGGCTTGCTTCTATACAATGTTTGCAGAAGGGCGTGTATCTATAATCCCGCCACCAGACAAACCGTGACCTTGCCCGCCGTCAATTCCAGCATCCTTGCTCAAGGAGATTCTCGCAAGTATGTCTTCTACTTTCTCGGACATCATCCTGTTCTTGATCAGTACAAAGTCGTCTGCAATGTTGTTCTGAGATCATCCCCGAGGATAACCTCGGAGCATTGGGTCTTCGTACTGGAAGCCGGAGGTTCCTGGAAGAAAATAGAGTCTGATCAAACTCACGTGCCTACAAGCATAGGAGTGTGCGTCAATGGAGTTATGTATTATCTGGCTTCCACTAGTAGTACCTCTCGCGGCATCGTTTTCAGTTTTGACGTTAGGTCTGAAGAGTTGAATACGATCCAAGTACCTCCTTCGGTGTCTGGAGCATCCAATCGTACAGGGTTTATAGAGTATGGTGGAAAGCCAGCTGTGTTTGATCATACCCATCTTGGAACAACGGGTTTGGTGGAGTGGTGGGTCTTGGAAGATGGTCGAAGATGGTCGAGGAAGTCTCTGGCTTTGCATCCTTGTCAGATGCATATGGTCGATGGCACCAACCATTTGGCTGTGCAATGTACTGCTCAAACCGGCGAGGTTATCTTGGCACCCAACCCCATGCCTCCCTCTGGTTACTTTCTCTATTATGATCTGCAAAAGAATGCTCTGCGAAAGGTTCATGTCAATGGATTATGGGACGGCGGGTTTGGTGAGAAACGCAAATATTTCGCTATTATGGGTAAGAGTGAAAGCATCATGCACTTGGAAACTTGAGTGCCCATGTACTTGTTGTTGATTACTTGAGTGCCCATGTACTTGTTGTTGATTTGTTTAATGATGATGATGATACAATGTAACTATGTATATCTTGAAATTTTAATGTTACAATGCAGCTTCTTCTCTTTTTTCAAGGTCTTTTGATTGTATAAGAACGATAACGATAACCAAACCGTATTCCCCAATCGGTTACATAATTCGTCATCTGCATTTTATCGCAGTAACAGAGAGAGTCGAAGAAAATGCATCAAAATACATAAACCGGAATGTCAGTAAATACGCCTCCAAGACTGAATCTTAAAAAGCAGTCTCCTTCTCAACCTTACTTTTTCCTGCTTTTTGGTTAGCACAAAGCTTCTCAAACTCCAGGACTGTCTTCTGCATCCCCTTCTTGTTATATATATACATAATCTCTATAGATAGAGAGATTATAATAATAAAAAAAAACATACGAAGTCATGAAAATCCAGCCTTCTTCTTCTGCTGCTGTCAGATTAAATGGTAAGCAACAGCTTCTCAAACCTGAGGCTCTTTTTTTCAGTTGTCTTCTCAGGCGATATAATAGTCGGTTAGATTTCCGACGAGATAGTTAAACTCTTCACCTACTCCATAGTCATTGGCCTGCTCTACTGTGCTCGGAACGTTCCTTGTAGCAACTTTTGTGTTCACTTTTGGTCTTCCTTTGATGCAGCGTTTGTTGTTGTTCTCTGGAGGGAACTCAGCTGTGAGTCTTCCCATCTGTTTCTGCAGATCAGCCACGGACTCGGTTGTTGACACTTTGCCTTTTGAATTCTTCTTCCCTTCAACGAGCTTGAGCTCGAGCCTGTACAGGGCACAAGCGTCGCACTTGTTGATCTCGTACTCGTAAAGATGCCACTCGAAATGGTGCAGAGGCTGTGGATCCATGTAGTACGATCTCTTCAGCCCTCCAAACTCGCTCATGATCTGTTTACGCGACTCGTGCCAGCCGCGACCGTTGTAGTCCGGTAAGGATCGTTGCTTTCTGTTCCCGCTCTCAAAGGCCCTCCTTGGCTTGTCAAAGAACAGCCACTCCCTTAGTGTCTCACTCTCAAGAACCGTGAGATCAAAGAGCTCTACAGTAAACACAAGAAGTTCCAAGATTTAGCACGAGAATGGTGATCGATGAACATATCAAATAAGAAACAGCACAAAGCCTTACCTGGAGCATTCCATGGAGATTTAGCAGTCGCAGCTCCTTCACATTCGGGAATACCGACATCTTTCCCTCCAGCCTTTGCGCTGAGAGCAGCGAAAAGCAGACCGTCTTTAAGGCCGATGCCTCCAGGACGCACAACCGGATTCATCCCTGGTGGGCCTTCGTTGAAAGCAAGTGCAGCGTGGAAGCTGCTGCAGTAATCCTGGAACCAGTCGAATCCTTGAGCAGGCCTAGGGCAATCCCAAAGAGCACATTTTGGACCCAAGAACGCAGAGGGCGGAGGACAGATGGTCGGGATGAAAGAAGAGATATGCAAAGGACCCTCCACAGCATAACCGGGACAGTCGTTGAAACCACCGTTGAAGTTCGGTTCAAACTCTTGCTGCAGATCATACTGATTGTATTCCAAATGAGCGGGTCCATCAAAGTTGTTCCCAACTACTAAGGACGGATCTTTGCAGTGATCAGGCAACGGAAACCCCTGTTCCGGCTTTCCCTGAACCAAACTGTATCCCTGTCAAAATCCACCACGACCTCAATAGTATTAAAACACAAAATAATGCACTTCACCAAACAACTAAAGCATCAAGCAAAGTTGGTTTTATAGATTCGATCTAAAAGAGTAACTCACCCTTTGGAAGGCAGCAGTTTTTCCAGCTTCGAGATTCTGATCAGCAGGCTCAGGCTTGGGTGGAGCTAATTTGCTGGTTGCATCATCTTCCTCATCACAGAGCTGCAGCAGCCGACAAATGTCTGATGAGAAAGACCCCAAAGTACCACCCTGCTAAGCAAAGACAAAACCCACACGACTAACAATGACTGAAAGAACAAAGCAAACAAAAGGCCATGTAACACATTTCACCATCAATGAAAACTACCTGATAGACCAAAAACCAAGCATGCAAGTTAAACAGCAATCAACAAAGAATGAAAAGACACCATACCTGTTGCAAGGATGAAGCAGGAGATGGGTCGTTGAGCTCAGATTTCCACTCGCGGAGCATCTGGTTCACTTGCTCCTCAAGCAGTGTGACTTCAGTAGCCCTGCTCTCTTTCCTTGCAAACTGAAGATCCAAAAGCATCCCTTGCAAATCATCCACACGGTTCTTCGCCTTGTCCTTGAACAGCTTGTGAGAAGCAGATCTGCAACTCGTCTTCGATCGCTTCCCCGTCATAAGAATCTCCCTCCCCAACCAAAAAAAGACTTCCTTTACCACAGATTCTGAACAACACAACAAAATCAAATACTTCACATCAATACTGTTCTTAGAGCAACAAAAACGAAATCCAGCAAAGAAATGATCACTCTAGAAAGCTCTGCAATCGTTGGTACATGCTTATAGTTTACACTAAGAAACGAAAAGTCCAGTAAACTAATTTTTATAAAAACAAGATGAACTACCAAAAGCCCTAGATCCTCTACTTAGAAAAACACCAGCTAAGCGTTGATTAGGGCTGAAAAAATCAAAAACGGAGCAAGGATCGCCATTTTTGATCGAATCTTCGAGGTTAATAGAACTAAAACCACCAGCGGAAACAGCTAACGAACAAGGAATAAATCATGCACAGAGTTATAAGAAACAACAGATCGAGCTAGCCAGAAGAACAACTCGATCCTGAAGCTAAAGGCGAGAGATTTATAGAGGTAAACAGAAACCCAGGAAATCACCTTACTGTATAGCTGCAGCAAAAAGCAGCAACAAGAGAGAAAAAATCTCGGGGAAATGATTCAATCGGAGAGAAGAAGATTAATGAGGAAAGGGAAGAAGAGTTAAAAACAAATAAAGAGTGTGACAAAATAATAAAAACCCACAAAGGAATTTAAGAGAAAACGTTCCTGGCTTCTCTTCTTCTCTTCGCCCTCCACTTTTCTTTTTTCCTTTTATGAGCAAAAAATTTGATGAATTTAATTAAAAAAGATCATATTGTACACTTGGAGAAAAACATATACCAGTTGTACTGTATAGTGTTTACTTGTTTGGCCATTCCTAATTGAAGTTACGGTTTTAATTATCATTTTGGAAACTAAAGAATAAAAGTTTATGGATCTTTTTCTTTTTATTGCTCATCTCATCTTAATGTTTTAAGAAAAACTGTAAAAGAAATACTTTTCAATGCATTACTTGACGGAAATAAGAGAAAAAAAATCAAAGGAATCTTGGTAAAAGAATCGGAAAATCACAAATGGGACAAGTGTCGTGAATACACTGAATTTAAAAGTTTTATTCTATATTTTCTTTTGGGTAAGTGATAACAAAATTAGATGTAAAAGCGAAAAGAGGTGGAAAGAACGAGGATATTGGGCAAGGAAGGAATATAAATGCTTTTTTCCACTATGTTTCTCCATATTCCTTATTTTGTGATGCTCATTTCTTTTCATCATATACTGTACCATTTTCTTTCGATTTCATCAATGGTCATATTCTATCTTTCTTTCTGTATTGCTTATTATTCTCATTTTTCATTTACACAATGATCCTCGTGTAAACTATAAAACAAATATATAAAAAAAAAAACTATCTAGTTTGGTTATAGAATTATATAGCTCACTAATTTAAACAGACAATTTTGTTGACTCAATACTTTAGTGTATTTCTTTTACATTTCCAATATTTTCTTCCAAGTGCATGTAGATGAATAGTCATGTGCTCCTTACATCATATCTCCATGGTTGGAATGAATCGGTTCACCATTTCATTTTAACTTAGAGCATCTTCAATCTATTGCTATTTTTTCTTCTATTTTTAGATGAAAAACTAGAGGTGTCATTTTTATTTTCCAATCCACTTCTATTTTAGAGGAAAAAATAAAAATGCTACTTTTTCCTCCAAATATAGAAGAAAAAATAAGTTTCTCTATATTTTCCTCTAAAATAAAAGTATTCCTCTAAAATAGAGATGGAATGGAAAGAAATCTACTTCTATTTTAGAGGAAAAAATAGTAAAATATTTTAGACCCGGACCAAACTGATGCAGTAGACGGTTGTTATTATTTGTTTATATATAAAACGTCTGTTTTTGTTTAATTATTCACACCAGCTAAAATATATCTCTACATCACATGCGTAAAACGTCCACTTCAGATATAAAAGAAGGACAAGAGTGTGGTTCCACTAGGTCATTCTCAAGCATGGGGTCCTTATTTTCCAAAACGAAAATTTCACTTTCTGGTTGGATTACATTCGGTAATATTGTATATCATTATAGCATTTTAATGTTATAGATTTAATCACTGGCGTTAACATTTGTCGTATGCTGATTTTTGTTTTAGATTTTCGATGATGTTCCAAGCATTTGAGTTTCATCTACGTTCAAAAGTTAGTTTAGATCAAAATGAAACAAATTTGATTATTAGTTTTGTTACTAATTAGATTTTTGCATTTTATGATCAGGCTAAGATCATTTAGGATTAGAGGATGCCACAAGAAGAAGAGTAACACATAGTGGCAAACTTAAAAAGAAATTATATTATACGACATGCTATTAGCTCATCATCATTAGTAGCATGCGTCTTTAAACATGATGTCTCTTGTTTTTTCCTTTTTTTTTTTGATCGTCGTTGAAAAATGAGATGCTTGTAAGGAATTTCTAAGCATTTGCCCAAATGATATTTTCCCCCATATTATTCCCTTTCTCTACCACCGAAATATATTCTCACCTAGTATTATATTTTTTTCTTTCACTATCGAATCAAATAAAATAAAAATAAACAATACCGAAACTTTCTATAGGCTCTTTTCACCTTCATAGGTATGTACGTATATATAGAGATTATGGATAGGAATGGTTAAATATGATGTAGAATTGTAGAGGTAGAGGGAGAAAGAGATCATTTGGTATCACTCAAAGGTCGCTTTCCTAATGAATTCGTCATTATCCAACATTGCCTAGAATCAAGCAATTGGTCTTAAAAAGACCAAAATCTAAACGACAAAGGAGCACGAACATTAAAACCTCAACATCAAAACTTTTTTTTTATTTGTCACCTAATTTGACTAGATAAGTTGTTATAAAGCAGATTGTTCTTGATGATGATCAAGGATACATATGTATGTATCTATGATGGGTCGATCTACAAGAATGTGAAGGAGAGAATCAGAAACTCCTCCCTCTTGTAATAAAAAGAATCATTTATTACCGTTCTGTTAACTTGATGATGGTTCATCTGGATTTTTCTGCTGGTTTCCTTTCTCGGCTGGTTTCTCGCCACTCATAGTACGAGGTTGCTGTCTTAATTGGAAGTTACCGCTTAGTCCACGTGCCTTAGCAAGCTGTTCAAGCTCCTCTAGTTTGCTCTTGAGATCCGCTAGTTGCTTTTCATGTTCTTCATCTTTTGCTCTTAACTCCTGTAACAAATGCAAAGAGATTAACAAATCTCAAACCATTCAATATCCAAACCTCAATTCTATCTACAAGAATGTTCATACAAATCGATCATCTAGCCGCATATATATGCATACCGCTCTCATTTTGAAGTACGAACAGTATATGTACCATAGATAAATCCTGAAGAGCACAAGAAAAGCAACACTTTGAAGGCAAAAATAATCATTCAAAAACTGTTCCTGTGTACCTCTACTTCTTGCTTGCGCGCTTCCTCTTTCCTTGCTTCTGACCGCGCACTTCTCTGCACCTCAAAAACAACAACACCTCCTCCGACCTGCACATAGAATCTATTAGTTCTACAGAACAATTGAGAATTGCATAGAAGAATGATTCTCAAAGTGAAGTGAGATCCACCAAATTGATATGGGACATGGAGGAAACTAACAAACACTTAGTTAACTTATAAACGCAGGTCCGGTCAAAGGGAAGCGCCTTATGGTATCAGATAAATCTCACTATGAAAACAAGAGCAAGAAAATAAACAACACTATGGTACTCAGAGATGCAGCATTGCAGACGATGATTGAGTAGGAGGGAATAATTTCTCAGCCATCAGCCATTTCATCAAAAACATTCTACTGCATAAAAAGATTCAGTTTTTCAAGGCAAAAATAGTCCTTTTTTCACATAGACCATTAGCAATTCATGAAAAGCAACTAACCATTCATGAGCTAAAACAGGTCACTGATAGGTAACTCCAAACCCAAATGCTCATCAGAAGCAAAAGCATATGAAAGCAAAATATGAAGGTGGATAAAGTAAAAAAGAGAGTAACCGCAAAGATGAAGAGCTCTCCAATGAGGTCTACAGCAGCTTGAACAGCCTTTTCCTCGTCCAAAGGACGAATCTCCACATCAGTGGCATGACCATATATCCGTCTCTGCATTTGCGTCGTGATTCTGTGGTTTCTCTGGTCACATTATCAAACAACACACATCACATCATTTTCCACATCACAAACTTGCAAACGAATGTTTAAACTTTTCAACAATCGTTATCATCCAAAACCCAAACCACGATATCTCCACAACAAATCCTATAGATTCCGGAGTTTCAGAAACCCAGGAGACATTATCATAATCGAAACGCAAGACGGAACAAAACTTAGGAGAATTATAATCTGGAAGAAGACGGGATTGACAAAATCACCTGAGCGAAGTTGATGATGAATTGACGGAACTTGGGATGAACCTTGGCTTGGTGCTTGAGCTGACTAGCCAATGGCTTACTTATGGTTTTGACCGCGAGGGTGCCCAGCTTCATCAGCGGCAACACCATCTTCTCAAATTAAGAATCTCAGTTGACTCGGGACACAGAGAGAGAGAGAGAGAATTCGCGAGGGATTCTGGAACTTAATTGGATGAGCACAGAATCATGAAACAACAGAAATCGCCATGAAATTCGTAGGAGGTGAGATCAAGGGTTTATCGAATTCTGTAGATCGAATTGACGAAGAAGAAAGAGAGAGAGAGAGAGGTCTAAGAGGAGGCTGAGTCGCTTGAATCGGAGGCTACTCGTCTTATTTGTACACACACCTTATTTGTATATTGTCGTATGGACCCTTTCTCTCTCTTTTTTTATTATCTTCCTTCGCAAGTTCTGTTGAATATACACATTATATTATATATGTTAGACCCTATTTTTACGGACACAAAACATGACTTTAGCAACATGTATAAAAGTTGCGACCAAATATATCATAACTTCATTTTTTTTTTAATCAGAAATCTGACGTTGGATCGGATTAAAAGAGAGAACCATTAAAAGAAGAATTCTATGTAATATATGTTTCATTTCTGTTTCACCACAAACATAACAAAAGTAACATCAAAACACCATCTCTATGATTCCGCGGCTGAGGTGTTTTTTTTTTTTTAGGTCAAGAAGACGAGAACGAATAAGATGATGAACAAGACGAGCAAGAAACATATCATCATCATCTGCCCTTTCGCTCCAGCTTTCTTCATTACCATTCCCACTTTTTTCTGTCACAAAACCATTTTTCATTACTTTCCATATATCTCAGCACTTGCTTCAACACAACAAAGAAGAACTCTTAAGGGTTTTTACCTGAACAAAGTCAAGCCGGTTCTTTGTACTGTCCATCTCCGTACCCAATTCATCTAATATTCTCTCCTGAAACACCCAGTCAAAAAAAGAAGAAAACTTGATGTCTCTGATCATCTTTTGATACTGTAGTATTGTTATATCTTTTCCACATTACTAACCTGTGCAACGAGTTCTTCGTGTATAGTAAGCCCCACTCCTCCGATTCTCTGTACACTTTTACTTAGCTCATCCAATTCTTCGTCTTGTTGCCTGAAGTGGTACACATGATGTCAATGTTATGGCATTGCTCTCTTTGAACGAAACTATGCTACAAGAGAATAGATTTACAAAAAAAATAAAAATGTAGAAGCAGCGAGCAAAAGAGCTAATATACCTTATCAGCAGCATTTGCCTATCTGACTCTGACTGTACAAAACCGTCATCGTCTCTCCCTCCGTACTGATGGTATCTATTTGCTTCACTCGAGTTTGGCATCCTCATTAGTTCTCGGCGCACTTCGCTTGCATTCCCAGCTCCAGAACCACCCTTTCCAGCTAGAACACCAGTCTTCACATTCCGCACCTGTACAAGGTATTGTAAACGTCTTGCACAAGTCAAACCAACAGCAACTATACGCCACGCTTCTAACGCTTCTAAAGCTGTAAAAGCAGCATTCGTTTACAAACTTAAGAAGAGACAATACCTGTGTCCTAGCATTACTAGTCCATCTCCTCCGTCTTTCAAGCTCAGCTTCATCAATGCCATACAATGCAGGATCTTTTGCTGCAACCGTGACCGCTTTTTCCAGCTCATCTACCTTCCTATCAGTAAGGACAGCTTCAATAATACCCATGAAAGGACGCTTTTTTGAACAGTTCACTAACTTATACTATTGTATTCTTAATCACTTACACAAATCATACGCTACACCAGCTAAATTTCTAAAATCCAGATATATTATACATGGCAAGAACGAGATTAACAGGAGCTTTACTAGATACGAGTACCTGCCACTCAATGCTTCCACAATTAGCAACAAGCTCCTTCGTCACATGCACTTGATCCCCCATGCCTGGAGAGATACGCTCCCATTTGTGGAATGTAGATTGCAACTTATCGATCTAACAAAGCAGTCATGACCAGAGAAACTCAACATTAGTCAAGTGTCCCTTCGAATCTAACAAAGCATCTCTGGCTGGAAAAATCCAAAACAACTTACAGATTCCTGGATCTCTTCTTTAACAATGTAGAATGGATCTTGCGCTGAAGACATCCCGGAAATCGACAAACTTGTCTTTACCCTATACACCAAAACCAAAGCTGGTTAAGCAATACAATCAAGTTCCTCGTATTTACAAAAGAAGAAAAATTTAACTACAGAATTTTGAATTTTCAACTCGATAGAAGGGACGGTTCTGGAGATGCTCAAATTCTACGATTGCAATGATCAGCTCGGCGCAACAATTAGATCTCGAAAATATTCCGATTAAATCCTGGCTAATCCAGGCTGAAACTTTCTACAGTACAACGGGAACAGTTTTATCAATCTGTGTACTTTAAGATCTCGACACAAACCTTAGAAGAAGTAGAAAATTTGCGTTTAGAAACGATAAACGACAAGGAATAGCGCGAAAGCACAATTCGTGTCAGAGGAAAATCGAAGAAGGACTATTTTTACCTGGGAGTGATTAATCGAATGGCGAGGCGGTGCAGATCGAGGAAGAGGAACAAACGACGGTGGAGTAGAAGAATTCCGGCGTGAGGCTCGTCTCTTACACAGCAAAACGCATCACCTGCGGTTGGCTTAGAGATTCACTGGAGAAGGATCGCAGAAAGCTTAGTTTTGGGCTAACTTGAGAAGCTTATAAAGCCCAATAACAGACGATAGAGCCCAAAAACGAGTTGTAATTGTTGCAGCGGTGTTTTACCATAAAGCACACAATTTTTTTACTGATTATTAACATACTATTTAGTTAAAGTCTATAAAATTATTGATGATTTATTTTGCTGAAAAGTTTATCTAGTTAATTAGAGAACACGCAATTTAAATTCGCCCACACGCTATTTATTTTTAACGTTTTTAAGTAGTGGATGTTATGGTACACTTCCATTTCAGGATTTGGTGAAACGATGCAATTGGACGTATCATCGTATGCGACCAAATGATAGTCATAAGGAAGAAATGGGTGACGTGGGGTTTAAGAAGAAATGACGTCGCCATGGTATTAAAACCAACTAATAATGCTAAGTTTGATGGATTGGTGCTAACGTATACCGGCTTTTCCACCGTCCATGGGACGAGGACGAAAATGGTTCTTTGTGGGGATCTTCTCTCTTCTGTTTTCCTTTGTGCATTAATAACTTAATAAGGAGGTTCCACTATGCGGAAAATTTCGACGACAAACAATATATGAGATTGATGTGAAAAAATGATTTTATCTGTTCATTGGTTTAAAAGAAAGAGAGAGACTCAACATGATTACTTTTCATAAAGTCACGCACCAATAGAAAGCTTTCAAACACGATGATTTTGGTATTATTGTCAATGTATCATCAAGAAAATTCATTTTTATTAATTTGTTGGAAAAGATTATCGGTTTCTTTTTATATTTTATTTGTAAGATCTCTTCTATATTGTAATCATTCGAAAAGAAATTTAATAAAATAAAGTGTTAAAAAAAAGTCACGCATCATAGCATTACTCTTGTCTAAAATTTCGGATGTGTTAATTAGATATACCTCTCTAGTCTCTATCTAGTACTATATATTTGGCAATTTCGAAATTTCGTGTTTCTGCAGTAATATAATTAATATTAGATTACCAAATTGTATATAGTCCGATGATTCTGCGTTGCTTGGTCGGCATCCAAATAAGCACCCACTAATGTGGTGGTCACATGCGAAATCAGTATTTCCAATTATTATATGTACAACCGTCTATACCAAAGACAAAAGTAATTATTAAAAAAATATTATCTCCTTATTTTTTTATTATAAAATTAGTAAAATATTGTTTAGTACACAACACGTAGAAAGGATACAAAATAAAAAAAAAACGTGGTCATTTTGTATATTATATATACTGTAATAGAGTGGAATCAATAAGTCAGCATGGATCATGTGCTACGTTAAAAAGACACGGTATATGACTAAGTCCACTCTCATCCGGTGACGTAAAATCAGCATCACTCACCGTTCGCTGTGACGCACATCCTCACGTAACATCGTTGACGCTAAACTCTCCTCTCTCTTCATATATATAACACAAAACCTATCCCCTTCCTAATTGGCATCTTCAAAACGAACTTGAGAAAATGCAAGGAACAATGTCTTGTGTAAGAAATTATTATATGATCCCAGCCGCAGAATCTCTACGGCCGCTACCGCTTAAAACGCAGCAGGGAAACGGGGAGAGCGTTCGGACGGTGGTGGAGGAGAACGCGGTGATTGTGATTGGACGGAGAGGATGTTGCATGTGCCACGTTGTGAAGAGGCTGCTTCTTGGACTTGGAGTAAATCCAGCGGTTCTTGAGATCGATGAGGAGAAGGAAGAGGAAGTTCTGAGTGAGCTAGAGAAAATTGGAGTTGAAGGCGGCAGAGAAACGGTGGAATTACCGGCGGTTTATGTGGGAGGGAGGTTGTTTGGAGGGTTAGATAGGGTCATGGCCACTCATATCTCCGGTGAGTTGGTTCCGATTCTTAAGGAGGTTGGAGCTTTGTGGTTGTGATTAATTTGTTTTTCTTGAATATATAGTGAATCTTGATTCGGCAGTGGCTGTTAATTATTTAGGTTTTATGATGAATCAATGTTTTTCCTTTGTATAACCAGAACAAAAACAAAGAGTGCCTAGAATCTAAAGTAGAGAAAGTCACTAGAATGTGTGTTCATTAAATTGTAAAAAGTATTTCAAAATGTGATATAGACCACAAATTTTAATAAACACACAATTATATGCATTTCTAAAAAGCTTTATGTAGTATATAGTTGATTCCCATCTCGGTCAATCAATCATCCCTCCAAGAACTAAATCTTATACCATACTCTCTATTGGAGGTTAATAATACTCATTTGCTGTTTTATTTTCTAATTATTTCTTCAATTAAGAAAGCTCAATTAACATCATTTTCTTACCATAAAAGCATGCCAGAAACAGAGCCATTAAGTCACACGTTACTGTGTCACTGGTCATCTTGTTCCCATGACTTATTGGTGGCTCCTATTTTTAGTAACTTCATCTTTTAGGTGCCATGAAATTTATTTATTATTTTCATGTGAACAATCTTCCTCGTGCTGCTATAACATTTACAGCAAACAAAAGACACAAATGACAAATCTCTTGTCACCGACACTATTCAATCCTTCCTTTACGTACTCACGACATTGAAACTTTGCTATATTGTCAAGGTATATAGAACTCATGTTTGGAACGAACAGATAGTAAATGTATATATCTTACTACTACCTGCAAAATAGTTGAAACAATCACATGTTGATCTCATGATGTTATAAATAATTTAATCCTTCATAAGAAAAGACATCAACCAGTACGTGTCTCATCAATATTTTGCCAATTTTCACAAGGTCACGAGAAGTTTAAGAAAGCTATATTATATTTTCAAAAGGTGTAGCTCTCTACAATGTGAAAACCACATTACATTAGTTTGCTGCTATAAATACACATATCAATATCAACGTGTTTGCCTCAGACTCAAGTCACTCAAAACAATCACCATCATGAGTAACAACAAGCCAGCGATCTCATTTTCATTCATCTCTTTGTTCCTTCTCGTCTCGGCTGTTGCAGTAACAGCTGGAAATGAAGTGGAACCCGTCAAGGATGCAAACGGAAACCCACTTAAGAGTCAGACCCAATACTTCATCCAACCAGTTTCAGACAAGAAAGGAGGCGGTCTTGTCCCAGCAAACATTGACTTCAGCCAGGTGTGTCCGTTAGGTGTTGCCCAAAATCCTCTTCCATTTCAACCAGGCCTCCCTGTTACTCTCTCCGATCCATCTTCCCAAAAAGGCACTTTATCCACAAATACAGATCTCATCATCGAATTCCAGACCCCGATATGGTTTTGCGTTTCTTCAAAGATATGGAAAGTCGATACCTCCTCCTCAAGCTCCCACAAGCACTATGTAACCACTGGTGGTAGCTCTAGAACCAGAGAGAGCTTTTTCAGGATTCAGAAATATGGAAACGATCAAAACACTTACAAGCTAGTTCAATACCAGAGTAGCTCGGCTATAAAAGTTATTGGTTCCACCCCTGGTCTTTACGATGCACCCACGCTGGTTCTCAAAGATGATGCTGATGAGAAGAATGCCTTTCCGGTGAAGTTCCGTGAGGTTGATACATCCACGGAGAATATTTTTGTGAAATCGGGTCTAAGGATGTTCCCTTCTTTCTAAGTCATAGAGAGTCCTGATGAGACTGGTGTTCAATTAGTTGTAATATGGAATATAATGGGTTGAAACAATACCCCTACACCAAAAATTATTTTGGTGTAGTGTAATGAAATGTTGAATGTGTCTTTGTTTTATGGTTTCAGTGTCTCCTCTTTGTCCTTTTTGTTTTTCTTACGAAACCAGACTCTTGTTAAAGTTAAGCAAACCAGTGCTGTTGAAGCACCAAATCTGTCCAAAAAAAAAATCATGTTACTTGTTACACAGTTCTCAAAGACGGTCAATGAATTTCAACACCTTGTGCATCATAATTTTATTTTATTACATCCTTATATTTATTTTAGTATATTAGCTTAAGCTTTCACAATTCATAATTGAAAAAGAAGAGCTATTACAGTAGTTTTTTTTTTTTTAATATAAGGTTGTTGTTACACTTGTTGACCCAAAAAAAAGAAGCTATTACAGTGTTTTTCAGGTTTTATTTTGAAATAAAGAAATAAAAACAAAGATCAGTAAAATATGTCGAGGTTAAAGTTACTCCCCCAATTAATCCCCAAAAAGGGTTAAAACCTAAAATCTCCCAAAAGCTGTGAGATAATTTATACTATGATAGTTACCCAACACCTACACACAAAGAATATGTGCTCTCTCACTCACATCATTCTTTTCCTCATCTTTACTCCACAAAGCACCTGCATTCATATATTATCTGCTTCATTGATTCTTCATGAAGCTTTCTTTACCCTTACTTGTATCACAAGTAAAACTAAGAAACGAACACGACCCATCGCCTTCACGAACCACCAACTCTCGGATCACTTGCGTCGTCTCTTCACTTTTCCCTCCATGCTCATACCCCAAACCGGCCTGAAGATTTTCATAGCTAAACCGCTTTAGGTTTACGAGACTCTTCGGTTTAGTTTCGGTCGAACCTCCACATTGCCTAGGCTGTGTTTGGTAGAAGACTTTTGAGAGGACAGGTTCACCGTCTTTTTCGTCCTCGCAGTGGCCTAAATGATACTGATGCATCACCCAATTCGTCTTCTCGGGCTTCTTCTGGCGACCATAGTTTGTGTAGAGCACTAGGATTTTCTTGAAACCGGCTTCTCCTGATTGGGACAAAACGGGTCGGGTCTTGCCCGTTTTGTGCCACCGGGTCTCGTGGCCTTCCTCATCGGTGCTCACTTTTCTACGTTTTCGCGTTCCGGTCGTGTAAGCCTTTGATGGCCGGTGAAAGAAGTGCCGTACTTGCCCGTCTTTGCTTACTCCTACTTGGGATAAGGCATATATGTATATATAGTTAATAAAGCCAATCTTTGATCATCAATCACTTTAGATCTGTATTTTACTTTTATAATCACTATAGAATGCTATTGTTACAAATTACAAAATTTACTAGATTTGAACATTTGCTTTTTGTGTTAGAATAATAAATAACGCTTCTGCATAAAAATCTTAAGATCTATATATTTATGACTAAAATGCTCCTCTCTAAAAAAAATTCGTTTCCAAATATTTAAAACTCTAATACAAACAAACAAACAAAAAGAAGATCCAAAAACATTTGTATAAATCCTATGTAAATAAATGTCGGTTTTGACTTTTTTTTTTTTAAAAGAAACATTTTTCAAAGTCAATCGTGACAGTAGTGTCATTTACGGATATTTCACCTCTTTCAAGCTGCTAATTGAGTTTAACTTTTTTTTTCTTAAATAGTAGGTATTATTTTCTCCCTATTGTTCTATTAGGTCATGTATTGGCGTTACCAGGAAGTTTCTCAGGATGGGTATAACAGATTCCATTCTCTCCTTCAAGAGTCGGTATAAATTCATCGATCAACGGATGAAGTTTTCTCTTATCGGATGATACCTTCGCCTCCAAATGCATAAGGATCTCTTTATCCGATGGGTCGAATCTGACTCCTGCTGGCAAGCTTGGTAAATCTTTGATGCTGCCAACCTTAAAAATCAAATTTCATTTTATTCATATTAATATCTATGTCAAAGCAGATAGTAAACGATGTGTAGTTATAACGATAATTAGAGATCATTCAGGTGAATTAGTGGTTAAAATATAGAAACCTGGTCGTCTTGTTGATGAATCTTGTGTCCACAAGAAGGACAGTTCATGATGGGAGATTCAACGGTAATCTTGGAATCTGGACCGCTCGTGACACATGATTGAGATTGATCTTTGAGTTGAATCGATGGATGATCAATGTTGGAAGCTCTTTCAAGATTGAGGTCGTAGTTATCATCTGAACCATCACACCAACTCATTTTTCTTCTTTCACTGATCCCTCTCTCTCACTATCCCTACAAAATCTATATCTAATTACAATCAGAACTATCAAAAGATAAAATCATGAGAGAGAGAGAGAGAGAGAGGGAGAGGGAGAGAGAATGAGCTAAAGATGAGGAGGTGATATACAAAGAGGGGCAAGTGAATGTTAAGTTTTGGAAGGAACAAAAATTAGATTATATTAAATTAAATTAAAACGGGTTTTGAAATAATATATTTGAGGGGTTGCTTGGACGTCACGTTTGTGAATGGTGTATGTATATACGTTTGCAACAAATAATTATCTAATGCAATTTTCTAAATTTTGATTATGACTATTCTTGACCATTTTTTTTTCTTTTTCTAGTTGTCACAGTTCAATTATCGAATTGTTAGTTAGATTCGTGTGAAAATAATTAATCATGGAATCTAAGATAATCAGGAAAAAAAACCCTGTGCAGGTGTAAATTAAATTAAATCGGGTATAAACTATAAAGTTTGTATATATGAATAAAAAGAAAGAAAGTAATATCTTCACAAACAAGAAAGGTGACGAGATGGAGTGTCGTTGTTGAAACTTGTTTTCTTTATCTAACTATTTTAGTTTTTTTCCAATTTTGTATTCACAAAGATATCATGTAATGTACCATAACATAATGTACATTAATCCTAAAACTACTTCTATATTAAGGGGAACAAATCCAAGAACAAGGTCGTGTGAATTGTGAAATGGCTAGATCTTCCTGGAAAACGTTTAGTTCTGCCCTTTGACTATCAACAATATCACGGGAAGTGTATATATATATATATAAATAATTCATTTATAGAATAATCAGTTTAAAGAAAAACTTTAGATCCTAGACAATAATTTTACTTAGATATATACATGTTGGACCTACTTGGTGTAACAAAAAAAAAAACAGACCATATCTTCACGCACAGAACAAACTCTCGTGTTTAGCAAGTAACCTATAGCCAAAATTCCTATTGTTTGCTCTTTGACAGCAGATTCCTCACCATAAATAATATAGAAATTCATTATTGTTTTATGGATATTGAATTTCTTACTTCAAATAATTTTGTAAGAAGATCTATAAATCTTTTTCATGGACGTGTCACGTAATACCATCAATAAATATGTTTTACAGAGTCATATACAGAAAATGCTTCGATAATTCAATTTGTTTCTATAAATAGTCGGTCCGCACAGATGATCCTCGATGGAGATGCGAAGCTTCTTCGGTACGAAACTAATAATCTCAGCCGAAATCATAAAAATAAAGTAAATGAAAGAAAACGAAACAAACAGAAGAGATCTTTGATGAGCTTACTGAGAAAGCTTTCAAAAGTATTACAGATTTCTCAAATAGTGTTTTTTAAGACCAAAAAGATTATATAATTAATCAAAAATAGTGTTTCGTCAGTGAAATTGTCGTGTTTTGCTGCGGGTTTGGTAGATGGGTTCATATTCGGATATATTCCATAGTTAAGAGTCTATACTGAAATAGCCAAGTTACATACACAAAATCTAAAGAACGAAAAGGATATACAAAGTTAAACAATCCATTTTTACTATTCAAACTGCGAAAATAATAGGAGAGGATATCGAGGAGCGTACAAAAAGTTCGTTTAGGAATAAAAGAGTATAAAATAGTTATGAGTGTATTTTTTCAAGAGTTAAGAAATTATCATGTTTTCAAAAAGAGTTTACTTCTCCGATAAACCTCAGTTTTTACTTTTTTGTAATGGGCCTTTGACAAATTATAGTAGTCGATGTGTAAGATTTGTCAAGATGTGAAAAAAATTACCACGTGGGTCCGATAGGCCCATTAAAAAGCCACATGGCCCAAGGTGTGAGTGTGTACCGTGTGCCTGTGGGTCATAATGATACTCAATTAATTACTCATATACAGTATATGTTTGTGATCATTTCGCAATCCTGACCTTATCTATTGAACTCTGGTCCCTACTATGCTTCCCATAGTATTTTGAAATCCACGAACTATAATATATATGCGTTTAATCTGACTCGGAATCGAATTACCAACCATTTAGCAAGACAAAGGAAAAGCTATTAGAACGAGAGAAGTTGCTTATAAGCTAATTTCACAAAAAAATATCAAAATAAAAATGGAAGAGTGGTACTTCTTGTTTCCTAGAAAAAACAAAATAATGTAGAATCTCAAATAAATCTCATCATGCAACATGTTGACAAATAACAAAAAGGAAATGTAAATGAGAGAGAGAAAGAAAGAAAACAAAAATGAGAAATGATTTAGAAAGGGAAGTGAGTGAAAGAGACAGAGAGGCAAGGGCAAGGATGAAGGTGAGGTGTCAATGTCCCTTAAATGAATGATACTACCAATGTGGGCTTCAATGCTGATTGGGCCCACTTCCAATTTCCTCATCCAACAGCTCATATTTAAGATTCTATCCTTACCCACCTATTTGTGTATCTTAATTTTACCTTGTGTTCGACCAAAAAAAAAAAAAATTTACCTTGTGTAAATTCCTTAATTAGAAAAAGCACAGAGTAGTAATGGTGAGACGTCAGTGTTGTTTTTTTTTGTTTTGTACTCAATAATAGAAGTTATCTTTACTTTCGTAATGTCATTACTAACTTTTAAGAACACACTAAGTGCAATAATAGAAAGTTAAACGTTCCTTAACGACCGGTTTGATTTAGATTACTTAACTAATTCGGGTTATTTTGTGTTATTTTATTGCATGGATTGATATCTGTTTCAAAGAAAGATGGAGTATGTATGTTTGGTACTAATTTATTATGTAATTTATGCTTTTAGTATCTTGATATTGATTATCTAAAAGAAAAAGAAAAACGAAATCAGAGATTTCAAAAAACATCCGAAGAATGAGACCAAGTTGATATTTAGTCATCTCATATGCCAAGTCTTATTTCATCTGATGCCTATGTACGGAAAGTAAGTAAAGGAAACAACACACAACCTGAAAATAAATATAAACTTTTGAGTTTTTTTTCTGAAAAAGTTGAGAATTTAAGAGCCATGTGAAGCTACAGTCACGTACTAACATACACGAGGCTCCAACGCAGTTCGCTAAAAACGAGAGAGACCACGCTTTCAAGATTCAGACATGTTCCTACATGAACTTCGTATCTGTTTACCCAAATATGGAAACCATTTAAATGCATGTTAACGCCAGAAAGATGGTTGCTTTTACTGATTTTTTTTTTTTTTTTTTTTAAACCTCTTACAAAAACCAGAGTTACTAATTGCTGTACAGTGGATAGACTGAAACACCAATTCTTGATTTAGAAACTTTTTATATATTAATATATTATAAAGTTTTAACATTCTCTTGATTCTCTCTTTTACACCAAAACCCTTAAGAAAAAGGGGGAGGAGAATCTTGATTTCAATGCCCTAAATTCACAGCTTCAAGCACCAAAAATTGAGAGCTTTCGGGCAATAACACTTTCTTCTTCTGTTGTACCTCAAGCTACACTTCCCTGATCTGAAGTTTCCTCGTTGTAGTAGTAAGGTGTTAGCTTCCCATCCTTATCGGTTCTCGTCTTGTTTTGGCTCTCATCGTCTCCACCGCCAATTTCCAGCAACATCTTAACCACACGTCTCATGGAAGGTCGGTTAATGGGCAACGGACTCGTGCAGAGAAGCCCAATGTTGAGTATTTTGCTTATCTCTTCTTTGAAACAGGAGTCAAGCTTCGGGTCAATCACATCCTCTAGGCCTTTCTGGTCCAACGTCGTGCAAACCCATTTCACCAAATCCTTCTCACCCAATTCCGGAGCAACGGGTCGTTTCCTAGTCACTATCTCAAGTATCACCACCCCGAAGCTGTAGATGTCGCTCTTCTCGTTCACACGGAGAGTGTATGCGTACTCTGCAAGTAGTTTGAAGTTAATGGAGGGGAAACAAACAAAATAGCTTTCAAACCCATTAATGGACAAGAGAGAAGGTTGTGGAGCCAATGATTCAGACATGTCTCAATAGATAGTGAATGCTCTCAATTTAAGTCTCTCAACTAATAATGTTGGTTCATGTGAATGTGTCCTTTTTAGTAAATACTTAATTAACTAATCAACCACATTAAAGTTCGATCATAAGAGACTAACCTGGTGCGATATAACCGCATGAGCCAGCGATCACAGACATTGACTTTGGAGCTTTTCCGGTCAAGTCAACGACTTTAGCCACTCCGAAGTCAGCGACTCTTGCACCGTAATCTCCATCGATCAGAATATTGTTGGACTTGACATCTCTATGCACAATCGGAGGAACACAATCATGGTGAAGATACGAAAGCCCTTCTGCTGCGTCCAAGATGATCTTAAACCTAGTTTGCCACCCCAACATCCCTCCTTTACTGCTGTGAAGCAAATCTCCCAAGCTACCATTAGGCATGTACTCGTAGACCAAGAGCTTGCAGTCCCTCGTGGTGCAGCAACACCACAGCTTCACGATGTTCTTATGCCTAATCTTGCCCAACGTCTCGACTTCAGCTTCAAAGGCCTCGTCTTGGACTCCGGGCCTGCCTCCGCCTTTCTCTGGATCGCAGTCTTCTGTTTCTTTAACAGAGTCTGTCCATAAACGCTTGACGGCGACGGTTTCTCCGTTTGTGAGCACGACCTTGTAGACTTTACCAGAAGCTCCGGCTCCGATCACGTTGTCTTCATCCAAGCTTTCGAGAATCTCGTGCTCGCTGAATCCGAGTTTGTGGAAGGACATTAGAGTCCACTTGGATCTCTCCATGGCTTTGGCTTTCTTGAAAGTCCTGTACTTGAAGTAGAACCAAGCAGAGCCAGCAACAAACACCATAGCAGCAAGTATGAAGATCGATCTGAGAAGCCATACATAGCCTTTGTTCTTAGCTTCATTCTCTGAGCCACACAATCCTTTTATATCCCCGCACAATCCTGGGTTCCCGAGAAAGCTGTTCTTGTACATTTCCTTTGCTAGAGAAGGTGGTAAGTCGCCGGATAACTGGTTACTCGACAGATTCAGCTGGTTTAGCTTCAGACTCTGCAAGGAAACCGGGATTTTGCCGGTGAAGAGGTTACCAGAGAGATCAAGATAGTTCAAGACTGATAAACTTCCGATTTCATCTGGGATTCTGCCGGAGAATTGGTTATCGGCGAGGTTTAACTCGTTTAGCTTCTTCCATGATTTGATTTTAGGAGATAACTCCCCTGAGAACCGGTTTCCGTGTAGATCAAGAGTACCTAGTTCCCCGAGATTCATCAAGCTATCAGGCAAGGAGCCACTGAACTTGTTTCCGCTTGCCGACAACTGATTAAGATTGTGCAGAGACCCAATTTCCTCCGGCAAAGTTCCGGTGAACTCATTGTTGGTGAGAATCAGCTGCGAGAGGTTTGATGCGCCTCCTATGGTCTTTGAGATTTCACCGGAGAACGAGTTGTTGATTAGCTCAAGCAAGTAAACGTGAGGCAGTCCCCAGAAACCGGTAGGAACTTGACCGGAAAACCGGTTGTACGCTAGCCGGACACGGGTTAAGCTCCGGCAATCGCCAAGGCTCTCCGGTATAGCGCCGGAGAAGGAGTTGTGAATAATCAGCAGCTCCTCTAGCTCCCCTTTCGCGCACAGATCCGCCGGCAATTCGCCTGTGAATTCGTTTTCCGAAACATCCAGCCATTTCAGCGGCGAGTTTCGGCCGAGGTCACTGGGTAATTCTCCGGTGAAGCGGTTTCCGAAGATCCTGAGCTCGTACAAATTCGGAGATAGAGCTATGCTCGGAGGAACCTCACCTTCTAGATTGTTCTCGTAGAGATTCAAACTCTCCAATGGGACGCGGCAGAGCTCATCCGGTATCGACCCGGTTAACTGATTCATCGAAGCGTCGAGAAGTCTCAGGGATTTCAAATTTCCGAGCTCCGGCGGGATTACTCCGGTCAACGAGTTGTTGTATAGCTCAATCTGGACGACGCTGGTCAAGCCGCCGAGTGAACGAGGGATAGGTCCCACCAGGTCGTTGAGCGCAAGGTCTAAATCAACGAGTCGGCTGAGTTGACCCAGTGAGTCAGGGATCTGGCCGACTAAATGGCACTCGGTGAGCCACATAACCTCGAGGTTCGTCAGGTTTCCGAGCTCCGGCGGGATCCGACTCGGACTAAACGGGTTGTACGAAAGGTTCAGCATCTTCAGCGAGCTGATGTTTCCTAGAAACGGCGGAATCGTCCCGTCCAAGAGATTGTAGACCAGAGAAAGAACCTCCAGCTTTTCAAACCGGCCGAAACTCGCCGGAATGTCGCCGGAAAAGTTGTTTCCGGTCAAATCAAGGGACGTCAAGACGGGGAGATCAGCGAGGGTATGTGGAATCTCACCGGTAAGGAGATTCTGGGAGAGATCGAGAGTGCGGAGACTCTTACAAGCTCCGATGTCGAGCGGAAGCGTGGTGTCGATGGAGTTATTGTACAAGCTGAGATAGGACAGACTAGAGAGACGACAAATGCCGGAAGGGAAAGGTCCGGCGAGATTGAAGCTGGAGAGATCGACGGAAGTAACAGACGAGAAATCTCCAGCGCAGGAGACGCCGGACCACCGACAAGGAGAGCTATCGCTGGAATTCCAGGAGGAGAGAGAAGAGTCTGGGTCGTCGAGAGAGAGCTTGACCTGCTGAAGAATAAAGCCTTCCTGGTTTAGGGAGAAAACGGCGGGAAAAAGCAGGAAGAGAAAGAGAAGATGCATCCTTTTCTTCTTCTTCTTCTCAGGGGAAAAATCAGTAAACGGCCGGTCTCAATGGCGGCGATGAGAGAGAGAGGGAGAGAGAAAAGGAGAGAGTGAGAGATAAGAGTTGAGGAGTGTGTTGAAGGAAGAGAGAATAATAAGAGAGTCTAAAAAGCGTTGACCGGAGGAGACAAGAGTTAATTATCGTGACTCTGACTGTAAATGCCAAAATCATTGTTTCTAGTATCATTCAGTTTTTTTGTTTTTGTTTTCTGTATCCAAATCTTTTTATTCGATTGCAATTATTAATACCTATGTCTCTAGTTTACAACATTTATGATTTATTACTGATCATTAAAAGAGAATGTTACAAAATTATTACTCCTAATAGTCTATGGAAACATTATTGTTTTCCTAATTACTTTTTTTACTCTATTAAAAAACAGAGGAAGTATAAATTAGAAACGACAGAATTTAAAACTAAAAATACAGATTGTATAAGTATAATACTAGTATTGCAAGGGAAAAGAGGACATGAAATTGTATAAATAATACAGTATGGTAACAAACATAAATCTTAAAACATCATACATTTTTCCTAAAAAGATCGGGTAATGGCTTCTTTTTTGAGAGAAAAGAGAAAGGATGCACCACAGTGTAAAGGCAGATTAGTGGTTTTTAACTTACTGTAATGGTGTGGGTATCTAGACTGTTGCACTAATTGTACTTATGTGTAAAAAAGGTTTTCAATACAGCTTAACAACGTAGACATGTTGTTTAACTTCTTTCAAATTGCCTTTAAAAATCGATTTACATAAGTTTTATGGCTGTTTACCTTGAATTGGTTTATATAGGACGTAAAAAAAACGAGTTTCTAACAACGGGTAATATATTATAGAAGGAATTTATGCAAGTTAATGCATACCATTAAACTATATATGTCCTCATGAACTTTGTTTTGAATGTGTAACATAAATTTGTTTAGAGAGGTATCGATGGTACATAAATTCAATGAATGCGAAGAAGAAAAAAAAGACAAAAGAATCCCAAAAATCTAACAAAATGATATCCTTATATCAGTGGTTTTATTCAATTATTATGATTTTAAGAAAAGTTAACTCTGTTCATAAAATGTTAAGGAGGTTATTATATAAATTATTAAAGTCGATGTTTCGAAAATCTGTTGCGAAAGGAATTTTCATTGGAGATGCATCATGCATGTGTAGTTATTGCTAACAAATTTTGTTAAAATTAGAGATTATAAAGAAAAATGCTAAAACTAAAATTCAGCCAACACATGTTTCGATTTTGTAGGTTTTCCTCGTTTCAAAAAAATAACCAAAATCATTGCTGAGTATTTAATATACCTACTAATTTAGATCTTGCAGTAAACTTTATGATACACATTAAATGATTCAATTTTTGCCAACAACGATATGCACAAATAATAAATGTGGTATATATGATTTGTTTGTCTATACTATATAAGTAATGAATAGGATTCATTACTTCTTTATGAACTAGCAAACATGAAACAAGTCCATCGACATCTAGGAAAAAAGAGATGAGATCAAGTTGTTGATGAGCCGACAGTTAATAATATGTGGAGTACAGTAGCATTTGGTTTAAGTAATTATGAAATAACACAGCATGTTAATCTCAATACACACTCCAATTTGTCTTTTCTTTTTCTCGCATGTCCAAATTTGTTTTGTCCTATACGTAACTCAAAATGTTATGTTTTCTAACGTTGGCCCTACATAAGATAATCATTTTATCCCACGCCCATAGATATTTGATGTTGAACCACCACCCCCAAATAACTACATTTGCAAACAAAAAATTGTTGACAAATTATTTACTACATATAAGTTAAATTTAGCAAACTCCTAACCTTTATAATGGATTATCTAACCACATCTATAAATAACATGGCAGTAGTTGTAGCTAGGTTTTATGTAGTTCAGTAGAGGTTACCAATTTGTCTCTACTGGTATTATTATCTTTTAACTATATATAGTATTATTTTTTTGGTCTAAATGTTAAATAACTATATACAGTATTTCCTCTTTACTTCAACAAAATGAAATTTTATATTATTTGATGAAAATTTATATATAATTTATTAAAGAGTTTAGATATATAGTGTCAGTATGTGAAATTACGAGTAATTAGCTTCACAGGAAACACAAACCGAACATCGGGAGCGTAAATAGATACACTTGGCGTGCGATTGAAGTTATGGACGATAAGAGCAGCATCATTATTATAGAATCGTACTTTTATTTAGCATTTATTTTCTGTAAATCTGCTAGCATTAATTATATATCACATTCATTTAAGTAGAAATATTCCTTCTTCTTTTTTTGTTTGTTTAAATAGTTATTTCTTGCATTTATTTTAGATAATCCCAGAAAGAAAACCATATTGAACCTAAAAGATATTAGGGCGTTACGTATAGAGTCTTTAATATTCTTTAACCACTGGGTCGAAAACTTCAACAAAAAGCTTTCACATTTATAACAATGTATGTCAATAACAAACAACATAGCAACATTTTCTACAAAATTGATCATTACTTTATAAACCAAATAATTTCACTTCCGTCACGTCTTTTCTTTTTGGATTTTCCCCAAAAAAATAAAAAATTTGATAAGGAAAGGAAAAACAAAATCGAGAAAAGCAGAAAAGAGAGTATTCCCGAGACACAGAGCCAAAGTTGGGAAACATCGCGTCGGTGTCTTATCACTCATATTCATAGAGACTGCTGAAACCAAAGAAACGGCATGCAATCTCGATGTCTGTTTTTACCAAAAGCAAAACACGAGATTCAACTTAAATACTAGCTGTTTCGCTCTCTTTTGTGTTTTTTATTTTATTGTATTTTAATTTTTGTCCAGAGTGTATCTAGTAGTCACAAGAACTAATTGTTTATAGGGAGTCTAATTTTCGTATAAACGACAAATATACGCTATACGATATGTATGTTGTCGAACCACTAATGTACAACCTACTTTGGCATTTTATCAGAAAAAAAAAAAACTGAAAAGAAAGAAGTTAATTTGATATGAGAACAAGAATTGTGTGAGGGTAATTTGGCATTGTATCGTGTGTGAGGATCACGTGCGAAGCATTGTAAAATTGTAACCGTAATGGTAACGGTTATTAGAAGTAGTTGAACACCCTTCATTTATATGGACTCTTTCTTCATGTTATCATGGCTCATAGTCCCATGGCTTCTTGTATTTGCTCTCAATTGATTTTTCTTTTTTTTATGGTTTCAAAATTTAGTAAACTGATAGGCTTAAAGTCAAATGTAGTTAATGGATATACGTTAGCATGACTCAATAGCATAGAACTCTCATTCGTGTCTCCCAAATCAAGGAATTGTATATTAATGTTCCCATATAGGAATAGTAAGGGATTTGCAGCAATAGACATGAGTCACATGATCTATGAAAAACATTATGTAAAAATGAAAATGGCGCAATTCTTTTTGTTGTTTTTAATGTACTGAATTATTAATGTGGATTAAGGCACACTAATAGACCCATGCCATGATTATATTTTTCACATAATAAACTACAAATATTAATACTCCAAGGGAAAACTTTCCTCGACTATATTTATTCTCAAAGGTGTTTCTTTTTTCTTTCTTTTTCTTCTTTTGCTTTTTGGTGAAATCTTCAAATAAACTTTTGTGGTTGTACTCAAAACTTTTTCGAAAATATCCACTTGCCATAAGATCTGCGGGACCCTGATAAATATTATAAAGTGGCATTTTTGCAAACTTTGAGGGAATATAAATCATACATATATGTTGATGACTTGTTTACACCTACTCTTGTTGTATCACTTCGTTCAAATTGTATTTTGGTAAAAATTCCAAGTGTTGAAGCCAATTATATTAGAAGAGATTTTGAAAATTCTATATATTTTCTATTAGCATCCTCTATTGTAAATATCTTAGTCAAAATCAATTCAAGTTTGTAGAGTATACAGTAGAACCTTTATAAATTAATACTCGATAAATTAATAATCACGTGTTTACACCCATTCTTGTTGTATCACTTCGTCGATGCATGTTCAAATTGTATTTTGGTAAAAATTCCAAGTGTTGAAGCCAATTATATTAGAAGAGATTTTGAAAATTCTATATATTTTTTTATTAGCATTACCATTAGCATCCTCTATTGTAAATGTTTTAGTCAAAATCAATTCAAGTTCGTAGAGTATACAGTAGAACCTCTATAAATTAATACTCGATAAATTAATAATTACTTGCTTACACCCACTCTTGTTGTATCACTTCGTCGATGCATGTTCAAATTGTATTTTGGTAAAAATTCCAAGTGTTGAAGCCAATTATATTAGAAGAGATTTTGAAAATTCTATATATTTTCTATTAGCATTACCATTAGCATCCTCTATTGTAAATATTTTAGTCAAAATCAATTCAAGTTTGTAGAGTATACAGTAGAACCTTTATAAATTAATACTCGATAAATTAATAATCACTTGCTTACACCCACTCTTGTTGTATCACTTCGTCGATGCATGTTCAAATTGTATTTTGGTAAAAATTCCAAGTGTTGAAGCCAATTATATTAGAAGAGATTTTGAAAATTCTATATATTTTTCTATTAGCATTACCATTAGCATCCTCTATTGTAAATATCTTAGTCAAAATCAATTCAAGTTCGTAGAGTATACAGTAGAACCTCTATAAATTAATACTCGATAAATTAATAATCACTGTTGGTCTCAAGTTGAGCTAGTGTAAAAATTAGCAAATTTCGATAAGATAATAAGATAAAAAAATTTTAAAAATTTCTATGTAAAAATATAGTCCCAATAATTAGATAAATTAATAATTATATATTTAAAAATATATAAATAATATAATATAGTAAAATATAATTATATTATTGTTTCAAGTTTATAAAAATTGTTTGACTTATTTTTCAAATTCATTGATATGATATTTTCTGAATAAATTTTATATTATTGAAAATATTTTTTTTTATTTTTTGACAAATATTTTAAATTTGAACTGAAATATCTCTCTATAAATTAATAAAATATTAATTTATCGATTAATTAATAACTCTATAAATTAATAAATTTTTGAAATCCCTACATTATTAATTTATAGAGGTTAGACTGTATATTCGTTAGTCTTGATATATTATATCATTTTATTTTTAAATCCTAATTGTAGAATTCCCGCAAGATATTGAGAAACAGCTGATGAAGCTTATGATTTCTCGTGATCTATATTAAATTTGGATCAATGGGTCCAACAACTAAAATTTATATAAACAACAGTAGTTGTGGGTTCTACGTGGTTAAATACGTTTTTTTCTTAGGTTAAAATATGAAAATAGACGATCAAAAGTTTTTTTTTAAAAAAGCATCCAGAAGAGAGGAAAAGTCAGAGGTCCATTTGATTCTGCTCAAGTTTTGGTTGATCTTCCTACCTTGCAATCATAATCATTCCCTTAAGCTTTTTTGTAACTATAATGATTCCCTTAAGCTTAATCATTCACTTTAATTAATCTTTAAGAATATATATTGAGTTCATCTCACATCCCACCTTCTCCCACTTTCCTATTCTCCTTTTGGTTGGCGGGGTAAAAAAAAATGGAGAGAAGAAACCTTTTAACAACTATTTTCTATTTATAAATTTTCCATTTGAAGTTCTATATTTGTTCTTGTCCAATCTAAAGTTACGACTTTCTCGTCTTTTGATGCATGTCATATGCATATTATATATGTATATATACATAACATTTCGTAGAGAGATTGAGATGTACGATTTTGTGGAATAAACTCATACAGACGCTCACTGTCACAAAGATTTTGGTATATGTAGATATGGATAAAATACATCAGTTTAAACAGTTGACTGGTGATGGAAGTTTAAATGGTACGGTTAAGAGTTTGTTTGGCTTGTAACATTAGAGGAGAACAAGCCTTGCCATAAGAGTTTGGAAGATATCTTGGGGGTTCAGTAATGATTGTACTTGTGACATTTTGAATAGTATATTCGATAAACATTAAAGAAATTAAAAAAAAAAAAAATTCATCTCAAATTGTTTTTTCACCAGAGTGTGTGTTGTCATATCAAAATTGGTAGCACAAATAGTTTTCATCTCCGATATTGTCTATTTTTGTATTGCCAAATTGTACCACTTGTTTGTTTCTGTTATTAAAATTAATACTTTTTTTTTTTGTTTGTTATCTCTTATATCGGCGACAAATATCTATTTCCTATGGCCTATTGTTAAGACGAAAATTAAAGAACTCTCAAAGTTTTGTTAATCTTAAAATTACATTTTAAAACATATTTGTTCTATAAAAGACGTAAAGTTTTTTTGTAACAGTACTGTTGTAAAATGATTCACAGCAGACATTCAGTGTACGTAATACTCAGATATGTAGTTTTGTATCGAAGATTCAAGAGAACTGAAAATAGTACCTTTTTCGTATTTAAACAGTAAAGAATAAAAAAAAAAGGATGAACGAATTAAGAATCACCACGTAACTGAAAGTGGTCTACCTTGGAGGCTAGCTTGAACCATCTACCAAAGTAAGTAACCTTTACTTTAGAAATAACTAATATACAAACCTCAAACTTATTAATTTGTAATTTTATATAAAGAAGTTCTAGAAAAAAGTTTGAAGATATATATATTCATGCGATGGCGAATGACCATATGACAATGATTTGAGAAAAAAGCATACAATTCTTTCAAACCATCTCTTCAAAATGTCTCTTTGGCATTATACTTTTGACATTGAATGGTGGGATTCTGCCTGATTCCTAGGACGAGTGATTGATTCTCCTTTGGGAGATTGAGGTTTAAAATTACATCTAAACCCTCGCAATGTATTATAGTTGAGAATCGTTTCTTGCTCATCTAGAACTTTAAACCAGGAGAAGAGAGACTAATGAGGGAAAAGAGACCCTTAATGACACAAGAATCACTAAACATTATTACTCAACAAAAATAATGAAATTATTATTATGATAACAAAAGGCACTTGCTAAATATATGCCTTGGCTTGGCTTTGACTTCACCAAACTAATCAGAGATGTTCTTCTTCTATTAATACTCTCTCTCTCAGGTGAAAATCCTATTCTGATACTAATCTCTTTCTTTTGTTCCCTATACATATAAAATATATGTCTTCAAGAATGTAATCTTCCCTCTCCACATGCTACATCTCTCAATTTTTATGAATCGCTGCTGCTGCTGCTGTAATCTTCTGATTCTCTGTCGTAATTGCTTGCTGCTGCATTATTCACAGGTACATCATCATCTTCAGAGCCCTCACTCATTTCAGCGACATCTTCTCCTCCGACCTGCTCAACCCCGGCGACTTCTTCCTCCTCCTCCATTGCTTCATTTGGGTTACCATTCCAGTTTAATCCCCACTTGTTTCTCTGACTGTAATCCACAAACTGACCATCATCATCCTCCTCCTCTGATTCAACTCCTACACTGTTGTCACTCTCATCATCCACTTGCATCGGCGTCATCATTCTATTAGGTGTTCCACTGGCCCAGTCTTCGTCCATCTCTCTAGGAGTTTCACCTGCCCAATCTTCATCAATGTCTCTGAACGTCTGCTCCTCTTCTTCCTCTTCTTCCTCGTCTTCCTCTTCAACTTCTTCGCTTTTAGGCCTAACAATGTCAGCCATTCTGCTGACTAAGCGGTAATTGTCCTCATCGTTCCTCTCTGGTCTTTTTCTAACCGTCCTCTTTCCTCTTCCAGGGACTTGATGGTTCACCAACTCAACGCTCGTTAAGTTCCTATCGACCGCAACACTGCTCCTACCAGCGACAAATCTGTTAGGACCCACTTGAGCTTTCTTCCTCTTCACCTTTCTGTTTGATCCAGAACCAAAGCTTACTCGTCTTTTATTACTTCTTTTACCCGCGTTTGGAACAACCTCGTCTTGCTCTTCTTGCTCTTTGGGTCCTTTGCCTTTCAACAGAGAGTTTCCAGGGAAAAGGCCCTACATAAAACGAGTACCATAAGATTACAAAACCATTAAATGAGTAACAGAGAAACAATTTTCACTATTCTTAATAAAAAAACTTACAATCTGCTCGTTCTCATCTTCTGGGATTAGCTCAGGTTTCTCTGGCTTCACATACATAATGGATGCATCAACATCTGAAAGTCTCAAAGCGACCGCTGATACTGTCTTTGGTATCCATGGAAAAACGTCCACTGATGCCGGATCATCAGCATCAGCAGCTCCCAAGAGCTCCTTTGCCGATACAAAATTGGATGACAAAGATTCTTTCTTGACTGCACTCTCTAAGGAAGTCAAGACCTGTCAAAACAAGAAAGGAAGATGGATGTTTTAAAACGAAAACGTCATTTCCAATTTGTGTTAATTTAGGGAAAGAAAAGCAAGATGATTGAACCTGCAAAAGTTCTTCAGGTGATGATGAAGCATTCACCCTAAGCCCCCAAACTTTTCTTTTGTCCTCTGTCCAAAATGATTCAAGAGCTTCATCTGGAATAGAAGCCTGTCAATAAATGAAGTTGTAAGTTGTCAAAAGTTAATACTAAAGAACCGACTCTAGACTTAAAATTTGACAGAGTTCATTGATGCTTTACCTCAAGAAAAACAAGTAGTGCTTTGAGCAACCTGACTCCAAAAGGAATAGGAGACGCAGTCAAACCTGAATCTAATATCTTTCTCTCTGAACTACCAACCATGTCCAATCTCTGGTGACAAGAAGTGCAGTGTGTGTACTCAGACAAATAAGACGCAGCACACGCTTCACATGTTGCTAACAGTTCACATCTCTTTATCCCGTATTTCCTAGCACAAGAAGGTAGTGAACTGTACGTCACGCTCCACATCCATCTCTGGAAATCATGGAACCGTTTCGATATATTCCCCTTCTCCCTGTCGTTTCTCCCCAGCTCAACTCTAATAGACGTTGAAGTTTCCATTGAATCAGAGTTTGACCCCGATATAGCACTGGATGGGCTCACCGAATCCGTAGGAGAATGATTCAGAGCACTCTTTTCCTCCGAGAGAGAGTTTCTAGATAGATTTATGTTCTTACAAGCATTCTCTTTGAATGACCCCTCAATCTTCTGCAACATTATGCGTAAATGGGATTCTCTGATCCCACGCATATCTAGTGATGCAACCAGAGTGTCAAAAGCCTACACAGAACAAATTCGCACAAAGACATGGTTAAAATCTCTATATAAGCACCCAAAGGGCAGTCAAAAACCATATTTATAGCTACAAACTGTTTAATTGCTAAGGTTGTTATTACCTCTTCAGAATCAATGAGGCGCCACTTTCCATCATGGAGCTCAACAAATAAAAGCCCCGAGCAAGGCTCACTTTTAGATGCTGATGCAGCAAAATGCCAGTAACGATTGTGGCGCCGATCTTGTCCAAGCGGCAAAGATCGGTATGAATACACATCTTCTGCTTTGTGGCCTATATACGATTTTAATTGTGAGCGTGATCTCTTTGAAGCATATCCATGTTGAGAAGAACAGTTTTCTTGGCTTATATTGGCCTCTTGGTTAATAAAGGCCGTCTCAGCAGATGATTTATGAGGATCATTTGAAACAACTTCCAGGGTCTTCGTTTCATCTATAAGCTGAGAAGGGTCTCTGTCGAAACTATCCATCTCAAGGTTCGAGCTTTGAATGATTTGTAGACCCATTGTTGTTTCGGTCTTGCTGCTTGATAAGTTTTGAAAATCAAGCTTAAGTACATCTCTCATGCAGCTGTTATCTAACTGTGCTTCAGCCCACATTTGCTTTTTAAGAGAATTTGCTGCTTCCATACGATCCTGCAAATAAATTTCAATCAGAACACATATAACAGACTCAAAAGGTCATTCTTCTCTGTCCAAGAGGTAAGCAGATAAAATTAAAAACCAAACTTTACCTCAAGACTAGCTCTGATGGAATTTCCTTCATTGGCGATACCAACTAAAGCAACAAGGGCATCAAGACGCTCTTCAATACTTAGATGACAGTAATCCCCTTCTGTAAGACCTTGAATCCATGATTGGCCCTGGTTGCTATCTTCAACCACAGCATTATTATTATCCACGCAGGAAACCGCTGTATCTTTACGCTGCTCACTATGGCTCTTAATACTGCTTGGAGGAGGAGAAGGGAACCCCTTCTCAACCTCACTCTTTACATCTGCTTTAACATCACAGAACATAGCATCTCCTCCCTTTCCAGACAAACCATTCGCTTCAACTAGATCGGCACTTTTTGAGGCACTTGCCATAGTGGCTATATCATCAACCTCAGGATCCTCATCAATATCACATTCAAACTCTTCATCTCTTTCAAGATCATTCACATCTTCTGCGCCTGCAAATCCATTCTCAAATGCCCTTATCTTCTTCCTAGCATCTGCAAGTATTGCCTCTCCATCCGCAGGATCCTTCACGTAAGGAGCTCGTACACAATAAGTCGAAGGAGCTATTCTTTCGAAGAGCTTCACATCTCTTGTCAATGCAACAGAGATAGAAGCCTCTGGCGTCTTGCTTGTTGTCAGGTCCCGAAGTCCGGATTTCTGCCAGTGAAAACCATTAAAAACTAAGTACATGAAATATTTCTATTACGATGAAACACGCAGAACATATATCGATCATTACCTGAATCTTGTCGGCAAGTTCTAATACTGTCAGTCCCTTGCTTCCCTCAAGAGAAAGAACATGAAAGGCTGCAAATTTGACAGTCCCAGGTGTCAACCGATGCCTCGACTTGCGTGGAGCCAGTAACCCTTTCTCCCGCATTGATGCAAAAGCACTTTCAGCTGCTGAACCATTGCGAATAGAAGAAATGATATCGTCACAGCCTTTAGCCTGCATACACAACCAAACCAAAACAGTGTTAAAGAAAAAAACCTCTGAGACCTTCATGTAAAAAGACAAGCCTAGCCTAGCCTCCATGATTTCACTTTATTGTTTCCATATATATATATATATACTAATATTACATCCTTCGGATTCAGAGTACACAAAAACGCGAATAAGCACCTCATCCCTGTCACCAGCATGATTCATTCGGGAATTTTTTTTCTTCAGCTTAGGACCCAAACCAGCAGAGAGTGCCAATTGTCGCAGTATTTCAGGCCATGTCAGTGGGTTCAAATGCTTTTTCCAGCTGCGGATGTCAAAGCCCCATGCATAAGCCTGAAGAAGAAGTATTAGGAAAGATGAAGCCCAAAAAGAGAAAAAGATATTAGCATAGAGAGACAGAGAAAGTTACCCCTTCAACAATCTGCGGATGTCCACCCTCGGGATTGGCTGTAGTATATTGGTTATTTCCAATTCCACTAAAAGGTGTTCTAGCAACATCTTCAACATCTCGTATTATTGATCTCAGAAGAGTAACATGTATCTCCCCCAGCAACCTTGAGTCCTACGATAGGATATATATACAACAGAGCAAGAACAGTGTAATGTAAGAAACAACTATACAACAGGAGAAAAGAAGGAAATCGCAGAACTGAGTACTAAAGAGAGACTTACATAGTCATGAAAAGCCTGAATAAACTCATCCAGGGTAAAAGGCCATAGGTCGAGAACATCAGAAAATGATGTTAGGAATCTCCAAACCTGAAAAGCAACCAAAATATTAGAAACTTGAAACGTGCAAAAGGGTGCACGAAACATGAAAAAAAAAAACAAAACCAACTGATTCCAAATTGGTCTCAGTGTTCTGATGAGTGGCAGCATACGCAGAGTGCAAAGATCAATAGAGCATACCATTAGAAGGTTTCCAACATTTTCCTCGGAATCCTTCCATGGAGAAATGGTAAACGGCATTTTCAGTTGCAAAGCCTTTGGTGGAAATGTGCTCAGAGAATCTGACAAAAGTAAAACAGCTACGATGAATTGCAAGATCTAGAAAGAAATTACAGCACCATACAAAAGTTTAAGCCAATCGAGTAAGGTATATAAGCAAATTACTCTGACTACCATGGTTTTGCAGAGAGACCATACCTCTATAAAGTTCAAGGTTTTGCAATGTGTCATGATCAAGCTGTAGTACCGAGGGCAATCCTTTGCTAATAGCAGCCAATTCCATCAATTCTAGCTGCTCATCTTCAATTAGGTCCATAGACTCCTTAGCAATTCTACGTGCAGTTGCCTTCTCAACGGCAATTTTGCGTCTAATAGCGTCTTTCTCCCGACGAATCTCCTCTTTTTGCTTCTTTTTCTCCGCCTTTAACATTCCAACAGATAAGTCTCATTTTCCATACTCTTGCCACAGAAGGATTTGTAAAATACGAAATAATAAACAATTGGGTATAGTTTCAAAACTTACCCGTTCACATTCTCTCTGCAAGAACTTCTCTCTTCTTTCCATTTCACGTCGCTGCTCACGCTGTACCCTCTCCTCCTCTTTGACTCTTTCACGCATCAACCTCTCTTCTTCTTTACGCCTCTCACGCTCATGCCTTTCCATCTCTTTTCTCATGCGTTCTTCATTCTGAGGACATTAGCATCAACCCATCAATATGTGTACAGTAATACTAAAATAAACGACAATAAGACCTTTCGTTCAAGTAGAAAGAAGGATGAGAAGTGAAAAGAATACCCTTTTCCTCTGAATCTCTAGCTTCTCAACATCTTTTTGTCCACGGTTCTCTCGGTTTTCACTCCCTCTTCCAAGTCTACCATCGTTAATCTGTGAGAGTGAAGAGAGAATATAATCATTACAACAAAAACACATATTTGTCAGCAGAATGGGATGAAATCAAAGTTGGCAAAAGAAAGCTACCTTTCCCTTCCTATGCACCCCGTCGGACAACAAATACGGGTCTTCTGTCCGGAGGACAGATGAGTCTCTCTCCATCAGGTAACTATCACCATGAGCTGATGGAGCAATGGGGCTAGGCATGTCTTGTTGAGATGTAGAACAGTTACGAGAAGCACTTCCATGGGTACCATATGACCTTGATAAAGGCCCGTTCCCGTGCATAAATGGTGAACTCTTGGAACGTGCACTCTCGTAGTCCATGCCACGTGCATGACTTTCAGAGTGTCGTCCATACATCTCAGGCGTAAAGGAAGACGGATCATCCAGAGGCTATAACAAAGTAGTAAGAAGAATATGTCATGAAAATGTGATTACATAAACGCAAAAGAAAGAGAATATATAAACAACTCAAAATTCATCATTTCATCGCACATGTAAGACTAATAATACGTCAGCGTTTATGCATTGAGAACTCCTTACAAAATACTCCTACCATAGAAAATTATTGCATCAATTTATGTAACCACTTCAACTGGTTTAAAACTGAGATGGTGCTACTTCAATTGCGTAACATGTAAATATTTAACTGCTAGAAACAACAATTTATAGGTTGCATGTAAAATAGAAAGTTCAATAGTAAATCCGCAGTATTTATTATCCTCTAATGTAATTTCAAGATACAGAGACAAATAAAATAGGTGCCACATTATATAACTCGGAACAAAGAAATCAAGCAGAGCCTATCTGTTTAGTCAGAAAACTAACTCTTCGAGATCGGGCATCATGTGGCTCATACATTTTGCTCTTATATATATGAGCCTGGTGCTTCTGCATTGCTACACGACCAAAAAAAGAAAAAGAAAGAAAGTTAGAGAACGACAAAAAGACGGAATCTTTTCAGTTTTCACATCATTTGTAACACTAAAACACCGATATATCTCAAGTAAATGTACCTATGGGTGTTCCAAATGCACCAGGAGGCAACGGATCAAACTCCATACCAAGAATCGGTCCATCATCTCTCAACGGTTCTCCTAACTGAGCCTCAATGCAGACAATGGCTCTACGAACCATCATAGACAACCTTGGCTCGTACCCTGCCTTGCCCATTGTCTCGTAACCATCCAATTCGGCTCGAGAACTGCTACTTCCACTCGCAAAGTTCCTCCTTGACTCCGAGTAAGGGCTGCAGCCTGAGCCAGAGCCAGAACCAGATCTGGAATCAACTTCAGGAACCGATCCAGCACCCGGTAAATCGTTAACCGACGAAAAAGCAGCCGCAGCAGCAGCAGCCGGTTGGACCGACGCTGGTTTGGTAGGTTTCTTGGTCTGGCCATCCTTCTTGTCCTTTAGCCGCCTGTGGCAGAACCACATCTGTAACTGTCGATCTGACAAATCCAATTTCTCAGATAACTCAGCCCTCGTCGCCTCCGATGGATACGTTTCCTCTGATCAAGAAATCAAAAAAATCAAAAAAAAAAAAAAAAATCAACAAACGGAACAAAATTCACCTCAAACGAAGAACTGGAATCAAAATTGGGATTTGATGAAACGAACCTGCATAGACTTTCTCGAGGGTTTCGAGCTGAAAGGGAGTTTTCATCTGGCGCTTAGGCTTGGAGAGAGCGTCCTTGGAACTGGAATTGGAATTGTCAATCTTCTTCTTCTTCTTATTACTGCCACCACCATCAGCAGCAACGCTCCTGATCTGATCCTCTCCATCAGAACCCATCTCCATGGAAGATTGAACAACAAACAGAGGAGAGAGACGAGGAAGAAGCAACCCAGAAACGGCCGCAGCAAGAATCAATGTGTAGGAAGAACACAAACACAAAACAAAAACTAGGGCTTTCTACAAACAAATAACCCCGATCCCTTTTTCCCCCTTTCGATTATTGTCGAAAAACGTAAAAATAAAAGTAGAATATATAACAAGAACAATAATAATAGTAAAATCGATAAAAACCAAAAAGGAAAAACAACAGGGCTCGTACCACTCATCTCAATTTCAACCTCCATCATATTTATTTTTTTTCTTTCTTTTCCTTGCCTTTGTTCTAAAAATTTAAATCTTGTTTCTTATAAAAACAAAAACGTTTTTTTTTTAATTAAAAGAAAAAAAAAATCGAAACTCGAGGGATTCTACAGCGAATCGCGTGCGAATGTGTGTTTCTGCCGTTGATGTGTTTATGAAGCTTTTTATGATAGCAATCTTCCCTCACACTTTCGGCCTTTTCCTTGTTTTTTTCTTTTGTTATTTCCTTTTTTAATTAATTTAATTTTAGTTAATTAACTAATTAATACAACAAATCTTCAAGGCTTTGTCTTGTGTTTGTTTTGTCTTTGAGATCGCCGCAGGTTGCAAGATTTTTTCTTCTCCAGTTTCTTAAGGACCACTAATGTAGGGAGACTCAACAGCCTGCCGTTTATTGTTTCAAAGTTTAAAATCCCTGTCGTTTTTAAATTAAACGTTTTTCCTTTTAATATCATAGAACCGGCTCAATTCAGAATTTCTCAAACCCGGTTCACTCCTCCAACTCCCAATCACAGAGAAATCGAAAGAAGCCTGGTTTTCACTAAGTTTGAATCCTTTGATTGGTTGATTTAACGATTTGACTCTCAGCCTCGCTGAATCGGAAGAAGAGTCAAAACGGTTCTTAGTTGCCGGCGCCGGAAAAAACCGACCGGCGCATCTGAAACAAACTGAACGCCGGAGCTCCGGTGACAGAGGATGTGGCTGCATTTGGCTGCTCTGTTTCTCCTCATCATCGTTTCACCACTCTTCGTATTCTCCTCTGAAATCCAGCAGGTCGGTTCTAATCAGCACTTGGTCAATGATCTAGACGCAGCTAAGCTCAGAATATCACAATTGGGTAAACAAATTTCATCTCTCTTCTTGTTCGTAATGGTTTCTGTCTTCCGATATGTTTATATTTTTTCAGTTAGCTAATTGTATTCTTTTGTTTGATGGGAACTGTATGGCTCTGATCATGTAGAAACTGTTCTTGAGGCGACCACAGAGAAAGTGGATGCTAAGACCATTTACTTGGAAGAGCGTGAGAAGTTGATCCAAGATGCTGAAACTCAGATCCATGATTTGCAGTCTGCTTCATACAGTTTCGAGGTTGGTTTGATTCTATGTATTGGGCATTTCCATGGATGCAAATCCTAAGTAGAATTAGCTAGAAAGTCATTAGAGAGCTCATCTACTGCTTAGGGGATTACACGTTTAGTGAATGTGTTCCAACACTAGATGTATTTATCAGTTTATTATGTTGCTGCTTCTGAATTAGGATCTTTGTTTCGGTTTGGAATCAATTTCTTCAGCTCCACTAATCTTAGTTGTAGTGTATACTTGTGCTAATACTTTATCATGATAGTCGCATTGCTGACACTTACTACATAATCGCAGAGCGGCTTACCTTTGGTCCAAAAGAGGATAAGCGACTTGGAAGAAGAGGTCTGTTTTATATATATTTGGTTTACTTCTCAGATGTGTTCTACCAAAGCTGGAGCTAGTTTTTCTTCAACTCCACTAATCTAAAGAACAGTGTTGGCATTGCTAGGTTAAACACCTATGGGCTGCCTTGAGAACTACCAACTTCGAGCTTCACGTTTTAGAGGATAAGGCAAAAGATGCTGAGGATAAAGTTAAAGCTACCACTTTGGAAGTTGAACAGGTGTTTTACTGTCTTGTGTTTGACCTATTACCCATTCCTTACTTTCTTACCTCTCCTTTGAATCCTGCTTAATTATGTGTGGATCCTCTTGCTGGGATTATATATATATTGGCATATAACTTGTTGTTGTTAGGTATTTAAGCATCATATGATCTAACTTAACTTGTTGTGTGTATGTGTAGTACCAAATTATCCCCCTTTTGTCTGGCTTTGCGCTTTTCTTGATTTGATTTTTATGGGCTTAAATTTCTTTTTCTGAGGTACCAAATGGAACTCTCTGATTCCGATAGGGTTTGTACTTTGTATGTAATGAGTTTTCATCTTGTTGCTGTGACCAAACGCTTCATGAGCTTATGGTTTTGACTTACTTTTATTATCCTTTTTAGGTGACCGAAGTTGTTACAGAAGGGTGGATTCAGGTTCAGCATCTTGAGCAGGTCTTTGTTTTAACTTTTTCATTTATTTGCAGTTGAATCTTGTGATATGTGCGTTTTGATCAAGTAGTGTATAAGATTCACATCGATGATGGTTTTTTTTTCTTCTGTTTCTATTGCATCTTGAAGATGAGAGAATTTAATAACCGAAGGCATCACACACCTAGCAGATGTACTCTCTTGAAGGTATTATTATATATTAAACGTACAGTGATATGAAATCTGGGTGATAAAACTATAAAAGCTTTTGAATCATCTCTCCTTTGTGTATCTGTAATAAGCTCATGAGAGACATCCGAGGAATAAAACATCTACTCAAAGTTAATGTAGCATTTAAGTTTCACTGGGAGGGAAAGAAGGTTTATCTGTTTTTGCAATCGTATCTCAAGAGCCTATGGGAAGCTGTTACCAAATATCACCACCAGGTTTTTGTACATCTCATCCTCTCCATAATACTTTGCTTTGATTCTGTCTAACCACACTTTGCTTTGATTCTGTGTAGCTGCAAGGCTTCATCAAGCATGAGATGGAAAGAAACGAGATCACAGCGGCTCTTGCAAACAGAGAAGTGGTGTTTTTTATGGTATGTCGGCTGTTCTTTTGCAAATCTGGTAAATGTATTAACGTTCGATGTTTGATTTCTCTGGATCCTTGATCAAAATGTGTTAAACGAAAATCTCCAGGCATCTGCATTGATTACATTCCCGGTGTTTGGAGCATGGATCTTACTCTCTTCCTAGTTTTGTTTCTACAAGACATGCATGATATCAACTGATGTGTAAGCCATGTTTGTGATATCATATCTTATTTTCTTTTAAACGGACAAGAGTATTATAGTTGGTAGTAATTCATTTATACTAAAAATTTCTTTTGAATGATATGGTTTGATATGTTTGGAGGATGTTTGTAAGAAACCACCTGACAATATTCTAGCAATACATATGGTGTTTACTGATTAAGTGGCATGTGTTCGATTATTTAAAGTCATAGATTGACAGTAAATAAGAATATTCAAATACTGGATATGGTGGTATATATGATATCTAAATTGTCTGTATTAGAATCATATTCTCATTAACGTTCGTTAAAATGAATATATAAAGCAAGAGAACAACCAACACCTAACAAAGTACCAAACTTCTAACTTCCTCAACTAACATCTAGTGGATCTAACTTCCTTTTCTTATCCTCCAATATGATATGTCACATGTAAAACTTCCTTTTCTTATCCTCCAATATGATATGTCACATGTAAAACGGCACAATAGGAGAAAAAAAAGGGCTACTACTTGTTGGCGCATTCCATGTACAAGATTATATGGTCTGTATCAACAACAAACGATATATCATTAGAATGTTGTCAAAGTTTAGTTGTTAAATAGCTTCATTGCACTATCATATCGATAAAAGAAGAAAATATATATATTATATTCATTTATTTATTATTGAAAAATGTTTTTTTTTTACTATAAATTCGTCAAAACTCTTAATTTCTAAAAAAAAAGTTTTAGTTAACTCGCCAAAACGCCATCCATCGAAAAAGCATGAGAATGGTGGAACAAGAGATAAAAATCAAAGGAGAATAATAGAAGATGAAATCGAAAGTTGGAGCATATAAGAAAAAGAATGGATGAAAGGAGCCAAAATAGTTTAATGTTTCGTCACATATTTGTATCAAAAATCTAATAACAACAAGTAACAAGACATAAAAACGTTTAAATGATTTCTAAATATCTTACTAAAATTTATAAGTACTTTTATTCCATTTTGTGTCAAATTTCAGTCTCACTTTACAAATACTTCTATTCCATCTTGACTTTTGGGGTCTTCGTTTCTTCCGATTTCGTTTATTAGTTGCAGCAGAGATGAGTTTGGTTGATTCACATGTTCACATTTTTGAGGCATGTTTACTTTCCTACCACTTTGTTCCTGATTCTGAATCGTTTATTTATGTGGTTTAGAATTTTAGATGGGTTGATCCAACTCTTGACATGGAGCCTGACTACACTCATCTTATGGTAAGTGAAGTACCACTCCATTAATTATATATGTTGGATAATATGTCAAATGTTTTTGTTTTCTCAGAAAACCTTGTATAAGTTGTTAAATCAAGAAATTGTATTTTCTTACATGTAATATTCTGGAGTATGCAACTATGTTCAAAGCATCTGATCTACTCTTTTTTTATTTAGAAATTACAAACTTCCTCAGTGTATAAGACACTCTAAGATCTGAAACTTTATAGCCAATTCATGAAATGATCTTGGATGATAGATGTGTAAGATAGATGACTGATAGAAAATCTTGGACTTCATTTGAGTTCAACATCCTGACATTAGAGAGCAATAGTTTGTAACTAGTAGCCAAACAGACTTTTTAGGGTTCAGTGTGAGATGATTTCATTGTGTTTGTTAATAGGTTTCGGTTTAGTTGAGAAAATAACAAATCACATGGATAAAAATTGCGGGAATTAGTAGTGAAATTTTGGATCGGCAGAGGAAAGTTAGAAATAATCAAATAAACCATCTAATATTATTTTCTAGGAACAATTCATATCCCCTATATATTAAAAGAGAAGTATTTTTAAAGAGAAACCTTAAATTTGTAGAATATTACAGTGGTGTCATTTTGCTGATGTGTCACCACCATAGAGCTTCTCAGTATTTTTATAAAAAAAGACTTATGTTACTATAATATTTACATGCTATGTCATTATGCAATGTATAACCAAACATACATTATATTATACTTTTATAAACTATCCATCGATATATTATATAATCATATTAGTTTATGTTTAAAAAACACATCTACTTAAATTTATCCATCGATATATTATGAGTCATACAATTCTATTTACCATTATAATATGATGCAATTTTTATAATGTATTCAATTGTTATAGTTCTGAAAGAAATAATTAAAATATTATACATTAATCATATTAAAAAAATAATATAAAAATCCATCAATTTTCCAAAAAATGGAATGAATGAGCCATACAAATAATTTAAAAGTTGAATACATTATAAAAATTCACTATTAAACAGTTGTTTAAATTGATCATTTCATGTAAGACCAAGTAACCATACAAATTAATATAACCTAAATAATTTGTATTGTTGGTTCTAACCCATGATAATAAAGTTTTCACTATTAAACACATTTAAATTTAAATAAATTAAAAGTTGAATACCATATAAAAAAATCACTATGAAGCGGTTGTTTAAATTGATCATTTGATGTAAGACCAAGTACTGTAACCATATAAATTATTAATATCTTTCATATTACAACTTCAAACTATATTCCATTTGATTAACCTTAATATTTGTGCTGTATGCACTCAAATATCACTTTCTCATTGCATATTCTGGCTAAAGTTCTTCTCTTGAGTTACTACCTACGTATATAGTTTAAGTACACTGTATTATTACAACTTCAAACTATATTCCATTTGATTAACCTTAATATTTATCAGACAATCAAAAATAAAATCTAAGATTCGAGTCATATACAATGTGATTATTTGTTCATTCATGTGACACCAACGTGGAGGTAAACGTTCGATTGCAACTTATGTATTCTCTATTTCCTTTTTTATTTGTAATCCTTTTTTTAGTTAGCCGTTATAATTCTTATTTATCTATCCTAAAATAATTAAAAAGATAAAATCATTATTTATTATAATTATATCAATCAATAACTACTACAAATCTAATCAATACATTGGTCTATTACATATTACTAATACATATTTCATAATTAAACAGCTTTCCGGTCAACACTCTTTGATAGTATTTACACAACTTTGAATATCGATGCTTTGATATTATTAGCATAATTCTTTTATATTTCCGACTATCGTCAGTTTTTAATTATTTTGAAAGCATGAATTTTATGTTTCTTTCACAAATTAAGTTATTTATATGTATCGTCTTTTTATATCATTCAAACTTATATTTAAATCCATTAGAGTAAAGCAGTGTATATTGATTGGAAGTTACAGCGGTTTTACACTAATATAAATAAATAAAACTATTATATTGTTAATAGATTTTACAATCATATTATATAAAACTAAAATTCAAACGAAATATATTATGTTATATAATATTTAAAAAATTATATTAATTAAATAAAAGATATTTTACTCAGTGCAGGGTGCAGATTATTACCTAGCAATTAAGTAATAAACCATCTTATATTTTTTTCCTAGGAACAATTCATATAATTAAGTACCTAGGCAATTAACAAATAATTAACTAACCTATAAATGTATATCATATATAATTTACTATAAGAGTTATTTCAAAAATTATTCCTTATTTTATTGCTTTTAACAGTTAGTAACAATATCCAATATCTGAAAGTAAACAATGATACAAAACTCAAATATTTCGAACCATTCAAACTTTAGATATCAAACATGAAACTGTTACAAACACGAAACTTTGTATATTTCACTTACGATATTGAAATTTGCAGCTCCCGTAGCCTGAAAACAGGAGAAAACAATAAAATATTGATAAAAGAAGAAGAATTTGCATAATTGAGAAAATCTTGAAACTCACTAGGATCAATTACGGTAACGAGACCAGAGCCTTCGAAATCGCAATTCCAACGGTGTCTTCCTTGAGCTTGGTAATAAAGATTCATTGCGACAGAAGCGTGATTATGGGGATTATCAGGAACAAAACATGAACCTCCTGGCATTATAATTTGACAATCGATTTTGGAACATGCGAAGTCTATATTTTTTACAAGTTTCTCATCATCCGTAGCAGGGTTCGCCACACACCAATCTCCTTGGCTCTGCAACAAAGAGCAAATTCAAATAGTATAAGAATATATGAGATGAATTTTTGTTTATATTTTATAAACTTGTTTTCACTTATGATGAATCTTAATTATGTACCTCATCTGCGTTGACTCTCATAATTTTTTTCCCTGAAACATAAAAATCAAACTGAAATTATTACAGAACTTGGAAAACCTTACGACAAAACTTTCAAATGATCTATAAGCCCATATATATATAAGAAATTTGATCAGTCGATTATATTAAGTATTATGAGTAGTTGTGATTAAATTACCCGACGAAAGACATAAGAAGATGATGAAAGAAAGATATATTTGTGTATGCATGTTTGATTTTGATTCACGTCTGAAATTTTTCTATAGCTTTGGTTTTCTATATACACTAGTTTTAACCCATCTCTTATATATATTAAATTAAGAGAGACCTTTTTGTATGAAAAGAAAACTTTGAAATGTAGTAGATAGTAATATGTCAAATTTAAAAGTTAAAACTAACTATGTCCTGATATCATAAATAGAAAGACAGGTGTTGGAACAATTCCATATATTCCATTTTTGAATGAAAAAGAAAAGGCTGTCAAATTAAAAAAAACAAAAATGGAAAAGAAAAGCAAATCCTTTTTACAACTTATTCCTTATTCTATTCCCCAAATGTAGAAAAATATCATTCCATTTTTAATCATTCCTTTTATTCGGTTTATTCATTTAATATAATCAGTTACAGCCTAAGCTAGTCTGTTCAATCACACCAAATCATATTCTCAGTTTGTTATAGTTTAAACCTTTCCTTACAATTTAAGTTTTCTAATATGCCAAAAATATCAGTAAATACAGATAACTTCAGTCGATTATATTAAGTATTATGAGCAGTTGTGATTAGATTACCAGACGAAAGACATAAGAAGATGATGAAAGAAAGATATATTTGTGTATGCATGTTTGATTTTGATTCACGTCTGAAAATCTTCTATAGCTTTGCTTTTCTATATACACTAGTTTTAACCCATTTCTTATATCTTTATAATTATAAATCATAAGTCAGTTGTGAATTGTGGGTTTGACATGTGTCCTTTCTTACTTTTAATTAATTTTTGTTATGTTTTTTTGTTTAAAATAATTTTTCCTTAATACAGTTAAAGTTAAAGAAAAAATAACTGTAGTTGCACGTGTAATATTCATTTTCCAGGATTAATTGCGGTTATCTTCTTCTCCACTCCTCCACTTTATCCAAAAAACAAGATAATTATTCTCTTTAATATTTATATTTTGTTTCTACACTATTACTACTAGTTGACAACAAATATTTAGGGACAAAAAATTTCATCTTCATTAAATGTAGAAACTAGATATCTTCTCAAGTTTAATTTTGGTTACTATTTATTTTATATGAGTGATGAGTCTCTATCCAAAGCTCTTCGCATTCTATATTGATTTTCACTGATTTGAGGTAAATAATTTGCTCTTTTTTTTTCTTTTCTATTTTAATTTATACACAATTTGTTACATATTTACTTTCCAATAAGAATTTTCATATATTTAAATATTACTGATTTAACACAGATCTTCTCTCGCTATTAAATTATTCCTAAAAAGCTTCAATATGATGGTCATGTTGCAATACCTAGAAATAATATGTTATTATAATAAAATTTAGTTTAATTTTCATTTGTTTATTAGTAATCAATGATAATTGTTTCAATGTTCATGTTTTTCTTCTTTGAGATAAGTCAAAGTTAATTTATATTTGTAATTTTTTATTGTATAAAACTGAAATTTAGTTTTATTTGTAGGTAAAATTAAATTCCCGTGCTTAGCACGGGAGATAATACTAGTATATTATTAAATTAAGAGAGATTTTTTTGTATGAAAAAAAAAACTTAAAAATGTAGTAGATAATAATATATAAAATTTAAAAGTTAAAACTAACTATGTCCTGATATCATAAATAGAAAGACATTAGTTGGAACAATTCCATATTGGGTAAATGTGTTAAAAGTTCGATGTTTGATTTTCCTGGATCCTTAATCAAAATCTGTTAAATGAAAATCTCTCCAGGCATCTGCATTGATTACATTCCCGGTGTTTGGAGCATGGATCTTACTCTCTTCCTAGTTTTGTTTCTACACGACATGCATGATATCAACTGATGCGTAAGCCATGTTTGTGATATGCATATCTTATTTTTCATTAAACGGACAAGAGTCTTAGCTGTTTGTAAATTCATTTATTAGGAAATTTCAAAGAGACATAAGACATGTTCTTGTGACATGTGTCATGCTCCAAAGGTTGGACCAAACTTTCTTTTCATTTTGGGCTCTCAGGTCTCAGAATATGCTTCTTTAAGAGAATAAGTGAATTCACCATAACCAGTACTATCCCTACGTGTGTCGGGCACGAGAATTTATCATCTAAAACATACTAATCCATGGATACCGAAAAAATTAACAATCTCTTTACTTAGTCAAATGCGGTTATAACACTACAAGAAGAAAAAAATGTATATCACATCACTTATAAAGTATCGTTAAAATAACTGATTCTATTTAGAATCACTAATTAAAAGTTGACACTAGATATATAATTTTACATCAGTTTTTTAATTGATATTAATCTTAACTTGACTGGTATCAATTAAAAATAATTGATACTAATACTAATTTGATTAACATCAATTAAAAAAAACTAATACAAATCATTATTAATTTATATCAGTTTTAAAAACTAACACAAATATATAAATTTACATCAATTATATAAGTGAAACATTTGATCAACGGCCATTAGCATCAATAATAAATGATGCTAGTATTTTTTTCAGTTATAAAAGTGATGCAAATAAAATTTTTACTAAACAATTATTTATCCAACATTGCCAAGATTGATGAAGAATACTAGTTTCCTTCTCTATAAAAGAAATTCATCAACACTAAAAAATTTTAATGTTAAATCATATGTATGTATTTATATATATTTTTATAATAATAAATATAAAATTATTAGTTGTCTTAAATTTATAATATTTTAAAAATTAAAACAAAAATTTAAATCAAAACGAATTTTAATATCTCTGAATTTTAATATATAATATCATTTATTTTAAGTGATGTAAATATTAATATCATTTATTTTAAATAATGTAAATATTAATATCAATTATTGCAATTGATATATATTAATATCAATTAATATAAGTGATGTAAATAGTTGATCATTAATAATATTGATATAAATGATTAGCATCATTACTTCCAGAGTCATTTAATTAACTGATGCAACTGAATTTGCATCAATAAAAAAATAATATTAACAAATAAAATAAATAATACAACACACATAATTTCTTGTAGTGTAACATTTGACCATCAATGCAAATGAACCATTGATACCAAAACTAAACCAAAGTTCCTAGTCTAGGCAGTGTACAATCCCATCAATGCGAATCAACCAATAACATAATAGACAAAACAACAGTAAAAAAGGAACAGACAAATATTACGATTTCAATGCAAAATTGATGCTCCGAGGAGTCTCTCAAAGTTGACAGAACGATGATGATCGGTTTTCTTTGGAATGATATGGTTTTGATATGTTTGGAGAACGTTTGTAATTTGTAGGAAAATTTTCATGAGAAACAATTATTAGAACTTTTTAATGTTGATCTTTATAGACCCCCCATGATATTTTACGATGGTCACATATGCTACATCTTATAGTTCGAACATATACGCATTTGTACTTTTAACACATAAAACCTCTAAGATCCAAAACTTTATAGCCAAGGAATCAGCATTTTATAGCCAATTCATGAAGTAATCTTGGAACATATATAGATGTGTAGACAGTTGTTAAAAAAAAATATATATAGATGTGTAGATAGATGATTATCAGGAGAGGAGAACTGAAATGGAACAATAATCTGAGCTCGATAAGAGGTTGTTAATGTCAAGCATTGATGCCATTGATGGGGAACATAAGCTTTACAAACATGATAAAAAACATAAACACAAACCAAAAGGAACGTTCCAAATCTGGCAAATTTGGTATAAGCAGCGAAGAAACCAAAGAATAAAGTCCCAAAAACGTGTCTAGTGTCCATGGGAGAATTGAGCTGGAAGATGGCGATCCCAAAGGCAGACGTGGAGCATACGTAGATCAAAACATCAACGTTCGAGTAATAGTAAGGGAAATAAAACATGGCTGTCATAAGAATCACCAAGTAGAACGCCCGTGTAGCCGGTAGAGGAGGTTCTTCTTCCTTGTGGATACGAGTATTGGTGGTGAAGTGAAACATGAGCAGTAGCATCACGTACAAGGTTGTGCCACCGATGGCTGCAAACCAATTGGGAGATGAGTAAGGAGGACAGAGTCTGATGAGCGGCATGAAGATGCCAGAGAAGTTAGAAAATATTATTTTCCACACGATCTCCTCAAGACTCACCATCCTTCTTTTAATAAATTGGAAAAATATATGGTGAAATTGCACTTTGCAAACAAACAGCATCACGAGCATGGACAGACACAGACCATGTCAAATTGTCAATATGTCACAATCTCTCCGGTTGATAAAACGAAGGACTCTTGGCCTTCGGGGAGAAAATGATCAGAGTGTCCGCGTAACTAACGCTCAACCAAACCACCTGACAATCTAGCAATATATGGTGATTAACTGGCCCTGTATTAGAATCATATTCTCATTAATTAACGTTAAAATGAGTATACAAAGTAACCGAACAACTAACATCTAACAGAGTAACAAACTAATGGATTTAACTTCCTTTTATTATTATTATCTTCCAATATGATAACTGGAGACAATATTAAAAAGATATATCAACAACATCCATATCATAAAAGAAACTGCACGATCATATCATAAAAGAAGAAGAAAAAGGATATTATATTCATTTATCATAGTAATAGATTCCAAAAAAAAAAAACCAAATACAAACTGTACTAAGATATATGAACGGTTGTAAATCGAATCCAAAAGCAAATAACAAACAAAATATTTTTATGTCTCTGTTATTATTAGACCATCTGTATTTATGAGAATTTCTTTCAGGTTCTTAAACAAATAAAAAATATTATTTTGATATAATTAAATGTAAATTTAAAAGATAATTTTAACTAATATATAATTAACATGTGATGAGGTTCTCAATCATTACTATAAAAGTTTTCAAATGAGAACCCCTTCTTCACTCTTTCTCATTACTTTTAATTATTTTTTTTGTTTTTTTATGTTGAAAATTTCTTATGAGAACCTCATAAAAATTTCCACTGCAGATGTTTTTATCATCTCTAAACAAATCTTGTTGGGCTTAATGGGTATAGACTCGTCCAAAAATATTGGGTTTCGGCCCAATTGTAAAAACTCTCTTTCATCAACAGCAGCGAAATCTTCGTCAGGATTGTTGATTGCTGAAGTGGCTAGACATCTCCGCCA